GGGTACATTACGACTTGTTTTTGAACTTTTGAGGGAGAAATTTTTGCGAAGTTATTTCTGAAATGAAAAGTTTCAAACCTGGAATTAAGGAGGAAACATGGAACAGACCCCAGCAATTCCCTATAAATGTATATGATGTACACATTTTTAATTATTTTTTTGCTTGCACTCTCTTTAAGAATAAGGGAGCAATTAAATACATCGAGAGGGGAAGGTTCATGCGACATCCACCTTGCGGGTTTACACTGCGTAATTGCCAGAATGGGAATGTCAAGATTCATTTTCTGGACCGCCCTGAAATAAATATTAATGGACTCAGGTGGGAATCGAACCACAACGTACAGAAATAGGAAATTTGTGACCCACGCCCCAACATGCTCGGTCATCCCGTTCTCTTTTAGTACCCTAAAACTTGAATCCGATAAAATCAACCAAAACAAAGTTAAAACTTCCATTATAGTATTAAAGGTTTCGCATCCATTTTACATAGGTATTTAAATTAGTTATGAGAATATTCCAAATCAGTCTCCATTCCCTTTCACTCTTTTAAAATACATATCTATTTTCTTTGTAATATTAAAACTCATGAATAATTCATTGTTAAAAAAATTAATTATTTTTTCTGTTCATTATTGGTTGAATTTATGTGGCAATTTGATGCTGATGTTAATGGCCCAATGGAAACCAACATCTCATTTCTGATTGTTTTCAGCCTTTCATCTCGATGAAACCAAAAACTCGAACTTTATATCTAGAAAATTTATAGTTAAAAAAATATTGAAACAACTTGGAGAAATTACATATTTTTTGGATTTTAAATAATTTGATATACCTGTCTATATTATATTGCTTCATCGATACCGAAGATATGGAAGCATTGCACTAGTGCGAGAGTTTAAAAAACATTTAGTGCTCTAAAATTTTTTGGAGGGGAGGAGGGAGTTCATGGGCCATCGATCTTGGGGGGATGGGTATCCCCGTAAACGAGTGAAAACTCACCAAGGAATGAAAATCGATGTTGGGTTATAATTGAAAAATTTTAACAAGCCAAACTGCTCGATGATGCTTGAATTGGCTACTCGTTGACGGATTATTTTATTTGTGATTTTCATTTTAGGGACCCACGGCCTGTATAATATAGAAGTGGGGATCCGCTCATTTTGATGTTTGATATAGAAAAAGTTTTGTCCTAAGCGGATTATCCGCAAGATTATCTTACCTTAGGCCATCTGTGAAATATATACCAGGGGTTCAGTAGGCTCTACACGGATACCAATGCTCTGTCCTAGCGAGACAGGCTGTCCGAAAGCGACATATAAACAACGATGAATATTCTGTAAATAAGTCTCATAATTTACCAACATCATATCTCTGTAAGTTTTAAACATTGAATAGATTGCAGGAAAATATTTTATTTCAAAATCAACAAAGTCTTGTTTTGTTGATTTTGAAATAAAATATTTGGGTTTGGTTCACGAAATAATTGATTAGTCTGGAACAAACTGACTTTCAACTTTGAAAAAGGCTTCCTGAGAGATGGAAAAGGTAATAGAGCAGAACGGTATATATATAACACAGTAAATCAACCTTAAACGTCTAATAAAAAAAGAAAAGAAAAAAAGAAGGATGATACTGCGGGGAGAAACTAATATTTCAATTCTGACATCACCATATTACAGCAGTATGCACCAATGAAATATACTTTAAAAATTAATATATTTTTTCGGATACTCAATGTCTCTAAACCTCAGGGAAATACATGTATGATAAAAGTAATGGAATGGGTTCGAACAGTCCTTGGAAGTGAGAGCAGTTACTTTTTTACGGCATAAGTTATTCGTTACCTCTTTCAGTAGTTTTATCAAACAGGGTGAGCTTAGTGTATATATGTATGCATTTGTTTTTTACTTAGTTTTAATTTTCTTATGTTTAGGTTATTTTATTTAATTTATTGTATATACTCTTGATTATTATTTCTTGTTATTTTGCTTCTATTTATTTTATATTATTTTGTACATATAGTGTGAATGTTATCCTACCTCACTATAACTAGTGTCCATGTGACAGATTGTTGTAATACCCAATAAATAAATAAAAAAACAACAAAAACAGGGTGAAGTTGAAAGTCAGTTTGTTCCAGATTAATCTATCATTTCGTGAACCAAACCGTCTTGTTTTTTTGATTTTGAAATAAAATATTTTCCTGCAATCTATTCAATATTTAAAACTTACAGAGATATGATGTTGGTATACGATAAATCTCATTTGAAGGACATTTTTTATAATTATTAAATAGTGAAGTAAGTGCAACCACGGGACAAGTAAGGCCACGGCTGGTTTTTGTCTTAAAAATGATTATTTTTTTAGAAAAAACACTTGATTAGTAATTTTGGAACATTTTCTATAAATGTCCAACAAAGAGCCTGATTAAATCCAGCTTATATATATATATTGTTTTTTAAAAATGCTTACATTATCGCACTGAATTAAAATTCGACCATGATATGTTTTTGTATTTTTTACTTTCAACCAAGTATAACCAAACTTTCTATTTTTATAAAGTTTAATGTATCCATCAGCTTTCATTAAACACGATCTCACCTGATACACCTACTTTCTGGCCTACTTCAAGACAGAAAACACCAGATCTACTTGACTTTTTCATTACTAAAGTCATTACCTCCATCTTGCTTCACCCCGACGCAAGTTGCAGAACAAATCAGACAATTACCTAAAAAGAAAGCTCCCGGTCATGACCTAATAAATGCTCAAGTGCTTCAGAAAATGCCAAGGAAAGCTCTAGTATACCTAACATCCATTTATAATGCAATACTCACAACGACTAAATTCCCCTTATAATGGAAATATTCATTCATAACAATGATTCACAAACCTAACAAGAACACCGACTTTTCTTCATCAGACAGACACATCAGATTGCTACAATTATGCTCTCAAATCTTTGAGAAACTTCTTTACAAACGACTTCTTGACTTACTGACTACCGAAAACATAATTCCTGAACATCAATTAATATTCCGGTTCACACTAATCAACCATTCATCAGCTACACCAAGTGACAGACTACATTGCGACAGCACTAGAGCACAAATTATATACAAAAGTAGTATTTCTGGATGTTGCTCAAGCGTTCGATAGAGTCTGGCATCAGGGACTTCTTTTCAAACTTAAGACTACACTCCCTCCAACCTACTATCTCATTCTTCAATCTTTTCTTTCTGGCAGATTTTTCTCTGTTCTGTATGGTACAGATTACTATTAAACCATTAATCTACTATTAAACCAGCCCTAGCAGGAGTACCTCAGGGGGCAGTACTCGCTCCTCTGTTGTATATTTTTTACACATATGATATTCCAGATCCTCTCGATACTCTGACCGCGACTTAAGCAGACGATACAACAATCTTGACAAGACATCAAAATTCAACATACACTTCACAGACTCTACAATAACACCTAAACAATTTCTACGACTGGTGTAAACTCTGGAAAATTCGACTCAACCAAGACAAATCACTACATATCACTTTTACCCTTCGACGTGAAACTTGCCCCCCTATTTACCTTGACAATATCCAAATTCCTCAGACAGACAAAGTTCAATATCTTAGACTGACCTTTGACAGAAAAATGACATGGGGCCAAACTCTAAACCTAAGACTACGACTATTGTACTCACTCCTTGCGAGAAATTCGAAATTAAAAGTTGGATGAGGGATCTCCTCCACTAACTATAACTAATACACTCAAGACAGGAAGGACGCCGTTGGGCAATCCTCTCTCTCACGCCTATTCCAAAATATATGAACCTTATACATCTTGACATCACATTCGCTGATTTTCGGAACTTCTACCAGGTGTGAGTTTAAAAATTAAGTTGATAAAAAAAAAAATCTTTTAAAATGGTGTAAAGGTAACGGAAGACATTTGTTTTTGTTTCTGTTTTTTTTTTTTTAACTCTTTTTTGGAAGTAGCAGAAACTGTTGCAACTGCTATTCATGATAAACAGTTTTGTCCATCACTGGGTATGTGTAGAATCAGTGAAAAGCAAGGTATAAGAAACTTGCTCCACTGTCATTTATATTGACTCTTATGAAGGATTCTAGAGTGAAGTTTTGCTAGTGAACATGATTTTTTTTTTTTTTTTAATTTACAGGAACCCCCATACCAGACTGAAACGACTAGAAACCGCCCGACGTTTTCGACTACTGCAGCACTTACTAGACAAACGATCTAAGCTTTCAATCAATTATAAACGACTCGTATATATGACAATAATAAGACCTATTTGGAATTACGGAATTGAGCTTTGGGGCTCCACTAAACCATCGAATTCCTCTCGTATCCAATCCTTACAATCCAAAATCCTTCGTAAAATCCTCAACGCTCCTTACTTTGTCACAAATAAAATCATCCATAAAGACCTTAATGTTCCATATGTTTCCGATCTGGCCCAATCCAGATACCTTTCCTTCCATAACAAACTGCAGAATCATCCGAATCCTCTCGTTTCAAACCTTGCTTCCTCCTCGATCCCTGATAACCCTCCGAGGCGTCTGAAAAGAAGATGGCCTCGGGATCTTCTAATATAGAACTTTAATTTGAGTTCTACCAATGGGTAGTTTCTCTTCATGTTGTACATGCCATGTTACAAATTTCTCATTTACTTATTGTATTCTCTATGTATACAGTTGTAAATTCCATTAAAATAATAAAAAAAAAAATAAAAAAAAAATCTACAGAAAATTATAAAAATATCCAATTGTAGGATATTGTAGTCCGATAATTCTAAATACTTTTGCTGAGCTTTATTTCTATATTCTTAATAGTTACTCCACAAGAGCAGTTTAAATTTGAAAAAAAATAATAAACCTGGTTAAACTTATCTCTCTCCACCTTAACTTAGATTAGCTTAACTTAGATTAATATACGTGTTGCATATTAACGGATATTTGAGTTAAGGATGTGCAGTTGCAGAGATGCTGTGCGAGGAGGAGTGGGGGAGGTGGGGCTGCCAGATCCCGGACTGGCGGGACGAGGAGATGACAGCTTTCGCCGGCCTCGACCTCGACCAGGGCCTATTCCCCTTCAGTCCACAGCCGCTCCAGCCAAACCTCTACAGGTAAATATATGTATAAAGTATCTGGAAACATGTCTGCTTTATATCAAACAAACATACAAGAAGAAACTAAAACTATAACTAGAAAAAAGACAATCAATCTCCAAGTACTGAACACGTACCACTTAAAAAAAAATGAGAATAGATATTTATAGGCTAAAATAAAAATATGGGCGCCAATATCGTACGTAATTACCAGTCATCTTGGAAAATGGACGTCAAACAGGAAAGTAGAAATGAAAGTTTTGTGTGTTTTTTTCAGTGTCACGTTTTTTGTTGAATAGGAAGTGATAAATTAAAAACTATTTAATATGAGTAATTAACAATTAGGGTAAGCGTTAATCTAAATATTACGTGACGCAAAGCTCTTGTTATCAAATCATTAACATCTGTCTGAAACTTCATGAATAGCTTCATCTCATAGTAAACTACAGCTATTTTATTTACAAAAAATCTCGGAATTGGGGCATTTTCAATTTGGAGGTCGGCAAACTTTGTCTATTTAATTAGGTACTAAAAACTCGTAAATACCCATTTGCTTTCCACTTGGATTGTAATTTGATCACAAAATCCATTAAAAAAAGGTGGCCTACAAAAATATTGGGCCGTTTGGCCTATATAACTTCGTTATTTCAACAACAATAATGACAAAAATGAAACTCCTCTTCATTCATATGATTTTTGGTATAACCTTTAAATAAAAATATTAAGACATTAACGAAATTGGCAGGTGCGTTTTAAAACTGATAGTATCTGTCCGGCTTCAGGGCGGAATAAGAGAAGACAAAAATTAAAATGTTAAATTACTTGCTACTGTAATTATCAGTTATCTTGAAAAATAGATGTCAAAAAACAACGTCCCGATTCTCAGTAGGAAAGTAGAAATTAAGGTTTTGTGTTTTATTTCAGTGTCACGTTATTTGTTGAATAGATTTTCTGTGTTGGGCGTTTATAATCTGTAGGATCTCCTTTTTATATTTAGCACTTTAAATTTTAAAAAAAAATTCAGTTATTTAGGTATAATCTTCTACTCACTTACTCATAGGAATACTGTTAGTAGAAATTTATGAAAGACACTGATCTCAATAGCACTATAGAAACAGACATTATAGGCATTTTAAAATTTTCTTTTGAGAACTTTTTTTATACAGTTGTCAATGAAGGGCATTGTTCTTCAATATGGAAATAACTGGAACCTTTAAATAAACAAGAAAGTCTATTATTCACATTTTAAGTCCAATCTGTCCATAACTGGGTCCACTGTCCATAACTGGTGCGTTCATCCCATTTCACTGTAAACTGGACAAAATTTACTTTAACTGAAAGTAGAATTAATCCTTGTTAAAACCATTTAAACAGGATTATTGAGCGTTTAAACTAAGTTAAGTTCGCTTTTTTTTTTAACATCTTCCAACCATACTGCAGATACCCTACTTCTAAAAAAACTACCACGTTTAATAAGCTTTAAATCCATATTAATAAAATTCAGCGTTATTAAGTGAAAGACTTGAGATTCACTTCCAGTTGTGTAAAAAAATTATGTGATTTCATATTCGGTCACATAAAAGTACTCACATTTTAGCAAAAATTACTACAAAAAATTATTTCAAAAGTTATTATTTCCCATTTTTCCATGATATGGAATGACATAACAAAAAGGTTATGTGTTCTGTACGGCGCCGAAGCCTTAAAAGAGAAACAGTACAAAAATTGGTTCCCGAAATTTCATGGGGCAGATATTTTACAGAAAGAACGAACAACGCACTGACCAAACAAATATATTTGAAGACGACCAAATCAAAGAGGTAATAAACAAAAATTGTAACAGTATAGCAAATTGTAATAACAAAAATAGCTCCAGATAAGCTCGATTTGTTCACAAACGTGCATTGAAAAGCGTTAGAGCAATTTGAGTATTTTCATTTTCCTGAAAATCAGCAATTATTTAGTTGCCAAGCCTATATTATACCTCAGTGAGATCTCTCAAGTTAACTATATTTTCTTTTCTTTAATGCATTCGACTTAAAATTAAAATAAACCTGTTTATTCACATATACAAGTATCAAGATAGTCTATTCAACACAAACAATCGTTGAAGCTTTCTACTATTAAACCGACAACATACTAAAAAACAATTTTTTTTGCCGCGCTGGAATATAACACAACTGGGCCATTCTAATTGGACCATTTTATGTCCCTGGACTTTACATTCGTTTTTCACATGTCTTTTCAGGTTTTTAAAAAAAAGTAATGGTATTAATTTTTTCTATTGTTTCTAAAGAATGGAATGGTTGCATTAAAATAAATCTACTTCAATCAAAAAAAGAGATATCCCAATGCCAATGTAAAAAAACGTAACGATTGTCACAGTCTCGGAGCAAGTTTAGAGTCACTGTGAGGATGGAAAGTTCTTCTTGCTTATATATGACATAATTAGGTTAGCCCAAAATTGGTCTTGGGTTTGCACTTTGCAAGACCAAGACCAAGGCTACCTAACTGTTGCAAGACCAAGACCAGGACTGGTAAAAAAATTAAGGCAAAATAGTTACTAATACTTGACAACCTTAGTTACTATATATTAATAATTGGTATAACCAATATACTTTTGCATTTAACTCCTCCAATTTTTAAATCGGGCTTAATTAGGTTTCTTCTATCTAAAAATTTACAGTAATATCTCTATAGTAATTAGCTAATAAGTAACTGCAAGACTGTTGCGAGACTCTTGCGCAAGACCAAGACCATAAACAAGACTGAGTTTGCAAGACCAAGACCCGTCTCGGTCTCGCATTTGGGCAACACTAGACATAATCTGTATTCATAAATTTTGAACTAGGGTGAACTTTACTCTTATATTATGGTATTTCGAATAATAGCTACGTTTTTTACTTGTCTCAACTACTTCGATGATTGTAAAGTAGAAAAATTGATTTGCCCCAAAAGCCTTCAAGTCCCATTTCCGGCTCTCAGGAGCATAGAGAAGTTATGAATGCCAATTCCCAAAGTTAATGTCTTACTACAACTACAATGAAAGTATTTGAAAAAAAATGTGAGGTTTCAAAAATGTATAATAAGTCGGGAATGGATAAATTGCATTCTGATCTCTCCGACTTGGTTCGAGTCCGGCAGTGAAAAATAATAATTTATTCTGTTTTATTTTTCTGTATTGAGGTCATGAAACCTTAATGCCTAAATTGAGGGAAAACTTAGCGTTGAAGCAGGACTATTGGAAAATTAACTGTATGAATGTAAGGGGTAAGATAGATTACAACGCATAACGCAGTGGTCGTGCAGGTTTAGTCAGTATAAGGGGGCATCACTTTCTTAGGTAAAAAATCTGGTGCACGCAACACACAACTTTCACTTACCGCTCTACTTTGAATAGAAATTATTTTCTGGCAAGGTTGGGCAATTATAAATTTTTCATAAGTGCATTTTTAACAGAGCTACAGCTTAAAGCTTATAGCTAAAAAATCATTAAGATCATAATAATAACTAAAACCCTATTAATTATTTCAACGGTAGACAATAAAACTTTGTAACTCCATCTGTTTTTGAATACCACATAACTCCAGTCTCTAAGCTATATATCTACGTATGTGTCTAGAGAGATTTGAAACTGTATCTGTATATTCAACCTATAAATGATTATGGATTGTACGCCTATTAGTTATTAAACGTTATTTTCTATTGTAAAGTTTACTAAAATTAAATTACGAGATTTTCATTGGCTGCCATAAATAGACCAACATTTTTCACACTAATTTTAAGTGAATAATATTGGGATTATCATTTATCAGATAATAGAACCAAAAATAAAATTTACCACTTAAATTACGCTTCCTCCTTTATAATTTAGACCATAATTTTTACCACCTTTAGAATAGGTGCGACAAAAAAATATGTAACGAAATCACATAATTATTATATAATATATGTAATGTTATTGGGAGATAAAAAATAAAACCTCATCGGCCGGTAATTTAATACAGGTAACGTTAGTTTTCAAAATTCGCAATGTTTTAATATTGTTCTCTTCATAAATATCTAATACATATGTGTTTAGATAAGTATCAGATAATAAAATTTAATACCTCATCCAAAAATAAAACTTTTCCAATTAAAATTTTCGCCGAGGCTCCATGTATCCATACCATTTTTTTTTTAAATCCAAAAAATTGTGACAACTTCAACAAGACATCAGCTATCTATAAACTAAATGAAATTGTAAAATCAGAACTAGAAACACAAAATAATAGCGTTTGAGTGTTTTTCTTTATTAATCCCTTAAACAGGTATAAAATCTTAACTTTATTGATATAAGTTCGAAGATATTCTTAGTCCGTATTATTGAAATCACAAGTGTTGGAATAAAGTGATAATCAGTTATTGAAACATAATTTAATAGGAACACAGCATGCCTTGGACATTATGAAGAACAGAATAAACCTATTTATTATAATCATTGATCTTCCATTGTTAAGTGTATAATTTCTTAACTAAATCAGGACAAGAACGGATTCGTTCCAATATTTCAATAAAAGTGCTTGATTACAATGGCATTGCTTAACTTCCAAGTTCATATTTTCCCTATGTCGCAGGTGCGAGACCAACAACGGCCCTCAAGAAGTTGCTGACGTCTTGTTGTCGCTGAAGCACGCCGTGGTCCACCCTCCGTCGCCTCCTTACGTTCCGCCACCGCCGCAGCCACAATCCACCATTCAGGTAATTTTACTCGTATCTCAAATATTTTCCTTTACTAATTTTTCTGTTTCTTTTGATTTTTTTTTTCAAATAAACAAGTCATATTCATTTTATGTGCCACAACATATAGTTTAACCAATACAATTGCTTATTACAGAACTGCAACGGGGGATATGTCACCCCAACAGGACTAGATCCGGTAGGATATTTTCCTCCACCTTTCCACGAACAGCAATTGCAGCCTTGCAATCAGGTACTACATCCTCTTTGATTATTGCGTAATATAAATATATATATATATATATATATATATATATATATATATTTGGTTTCTATAGATCTTGCGGTTCAATCAATAAATATTCAACTATTGTATGTTTAACCTTTCAGTTGACAGAATGACTAACTCCAATTTAACCATTTCTGAGTAAAGTCATTTTAGTGATATTTCTAGTGTGGAAAATTTTTAATATCTGTACAGATAGTAAGTTATTGATCCCAGAAAAAGTTATTGGAGTGTTGAAAAAGAAAGCTATGAATTAAAGGTATACATTGTCCTACTAGAAATATCACTGAAATTTACAATAAAAATGTTGAAATTGGAGTCGGTCATTCTGTCAAATGAAAGCCTCATATATTTATGGAACGTTTCTTGAATTTATTTTTATCACATGCATGCTCCACAGTGTTAACATTACAAAGTTTATTTCTATTGTATAAACATTTATGGACATGTATATACAATAAAAATGATACAAAACTCCTTATCTACTGATTCGGAAAAAGCAAAAAGGTCTTTCTCTTATACCCAATTATTAATCGAGATCCAAAAATTTATTATAGTGTATAAATTGTAGTTCACCATTTATTTAGTGTTCAATGAAGTGATTATTAATTTGTAATTAATTAATCAATTTAGTATCTAGTTTTGTATTATTTAATTATAATAGTTTAAGAACTAAAGGCTATTTTAATTGTTAGTCATTTTAGGATTTATAAAATATTTTCTAAAAAGCAATTTTCATGAATCTTATTTTTCACGGTAGAGCACGACTATGAAACCTTTTTCTATTCTTTATTGAGAAATATTACATTAATATTCAATGCACAATAAATAAAAATAAATTAAACAACAAAATAATAATGAATATGAAAACAATGAAATTCTCAAAACGTTGCTAAAATGTATTTGAGTATTATTGAGTCAACCTCACGATCCTTAGAAAATATTTATTATTTAATAGTCAATAAAATAGAAATATATATAGGATGTGTGTTTGTGTGAGTGTGTGTGTGTTCTATAAGAAGAGCAAATTTAAAAAAATTGAAAATTTCTAACTTTTTAGACTCATAACATAAATAGTAATCGATAAGTGCAAACGGCAAATCCGTAACTTTCATATTTAACAACCCTAACATACTGGGAAACAATTTTAAAATTATATTAATAATAATGTAAAAATATTATTGCTCATTAATTTATAGGATATAAAATGGAACATATTTTGTAGAAAGATCGCTCAGACCTTGATATACGGAATTTTCCATAGTCTAGGTGTTGTAACATATTAATATTAAGTTTTGTATCTATTTGCCTTATGATAATAAATACGTTTTCATTCAATCATTCAACAACCCTAATGTTGATTGAGCCTTTTAGTTGACAGAATGACTAACTTCAATTTCAACCTTTTTAATTATTAATTTTATTGATATTTCTAATGAGAATTTTTTTATCTTTATTCACAGTTATTTATTTCAACAATGCAGTCAATCACCTACTCTGGAAACAACTTACACATTGTCTGTACAGATATATATTCTTCAACTAAAAATGTCATTTAAATGACTCTATTCAAAAATGTTGAAATTGGAATTAGTCATTCTGTCAACTGAAAGGCTCTATTCTATGGTCTCTGGCAATAACTAGTTAAGTCGACTCACAGGCGGATCTACGGGGAGGGGAGGCTTTCGGGCTGAAGCTCCCCCCTCCCCCCCAAATGGTAAAATAATACCATTTTTTACAGAAATAAATATTAAAACCTATCTCTCAAAGTATTCTTGTTCGTGTAATTATATTTAATAGGACTTCAAGAACCACTTAAACACCATTTCATACAGGTAATTCATTTCTTTCTTTTTTTTTCAAATTAATTATCGTTATATGTATATGAAAAAAATAATTTTTCGGGCTGAAGCCCCCCAAAAAAAAAAAATTAAATCCTGGATCCGCTAGTGAGTCGACTTATCCTCACGATGCTTTAACTTAAAAGTCGACCATCCTTTAACTCTTGAGCTCTTAGGCCATTGGTAAAATTCGGTAACTCTGCTAGAATTACTCTTCAAAACCATAATCTGAGTATATGAATATATTATAAACATTTAAAAAATCTGAATAATTATGCTCTAAACATCTGATCAGTATCAAATATTTCAATCTCATGATTAATGCCATTTACTAAACTTTAATTCATTTTATTATGTTTGATTCGAGTTAAAATAATTCATTCTCCTCAATCGTAAGAAGTGTTTATGAAATGGAGAGAAACAAAGTGCGTTTTCATTTGCAGCTCGTTTTTCGCTATGGATCGCTGCATAGATTGTTTATAATTATTTTTTCAACGCTTTAAAATGAAAGGATTTTAGTGAATAAATTATAAATAGGGACTCTATGGAAATAACAAGGCATATGATCAGAATATTTACCTAGATACTAGAGATAATTATAAAGAAAAAAAACAGGATTATCTTGAGAAATCCTCAAGCGAAGAGGAAAGGTGGTCCTAAACAATATGCACACCAAATATAGAAATAATCCTGATTGGATGATACTAATTGATTAGGGTGGGGTGGGGGTGAACAATATGGCGGAGGAAGCCATAGTGGTCGCCACGGCAACCCCTGCTCGATACCAGCACGTGCTCAGTCTCCCTTCCTCACGCTCTCTCTCTCTCTCTCTCTCTCGTCCTAATTAGTCGACTAGTTCTGAAATTAGTAGGCAATCATCAATTCAATGCAAATAGGCACATGGCCTTAAAGATTACTCTGAATTCAGAAAAAATAACATTCCTTCTTCATGGTATCAACGAAGGAACTATCTCTCCCTTGGCGAACTGTAATTCATTTCGCTGAGAACACACGGGATAAATATCTACCTTTCCATTCTGGCTAGCGTAGGTTAGTTACCTGCAGAATAATCCCTCCTCTTCTTTCCTCCCACGTATGGCAGATATAGCTAGGTAGATTGAAAAAGAAAAAAATTAACTAAAGATTTGTGCCATTCGCTAGTATGTATATACTTATAAACCTGCAAAACTAATCCGATTATTGAATTTTTTTAAAGGAATAAAGACAGGAAGAAAATTATTCGGTTGGTGTAATTACTACACTAAATGGAAAATGGTCCACTCCGACACCAAAGAGTAAACGAGTAGATCGTATAATGTATTAGGTCGTTTCATATGAATTGTCAGTTTTCACAGGAAAGATTATTTGGGAAAACAACTTTATGAAATCAAAACATTTTCATTCAAAGTATTTACCCCCATTTTCTATAAATTTCATCCAACTTTTCCCAGAACTGAAATTTCATGTGAGAAACGAAGTCAAAAAATGCGTTTTTGACCTGAGAATCATTTTCAAAAATTTAACCTTTAAGCATAGGCGGATCTACTGGGGGCGGGGCTTTCGGGTTGAAGCTCCTCTCTCCAAAATGATAAAATATAACCATATTTTATGAAAAAAAAATCTTTAAAAGTATTGTTGTTTATCTAATTACATTTAATAGGACTTCAAGAAGCACCTAAACACCATTTCAAAATAGGTAGTTAGTATCTTTCTTCCGAAGTAATTATCCTAATATATACATACAAAAAAATCTTTCAGGCTGAAGCCTTCCCAAAATTAAATCCTGGATCCGTTAGTGCTTTTAAGAAAGTTGTCCAAAATTATAAACAGGTGGAAATCTGTTGGAGATAAGTCTGGTGAATAAGGCTAGTGTGGAAGGACTTCGTAATACAGCTCGTTTAGATTCTTCACAGTCTGTAGTGAAACATGAAGTAGGTAACAATAGGTAGGTCGTTGTCGTGTAAGAGTATGAGTCCCTTTCGATTGAACAGATACAGGTTGTTTTGACAAGTTTTTGATGCATTGTGTCAATATCACTGCAGGAAGAAGTGGATAGAAAGGAGAGATGAATTATTCCTGCCATTGAGCACCACACAAAATAAAAATTTTTTTTGGATACAATTTTTTTTCGAAACGGAGACAAAATGATCCGTTCGTTACAAAACTTTTCCCTGAGCGCCGCAGTAATTTTCCTTGCTGCTCGGGCTGCCAAGTTTTCAAGTTTAAACTCATAAAAAAATTTACTCGAAAATCGCGTGTTTATTTCGTCATTTTTTATGGCATACTAAACAATGTGCAATCAATCAGTGCTGGCCTTAGACATATGAGGCTCCCCTTATCCAGGCAATGATGCCATGTCCCTCTCCTTAAAAAAATTAAATTTATTTCTCAAGCTGTTTTATATTATGCAGTATTTGAATTTTATTTCATTTAATATTTCTATAATACCGTTGTTTTATTAATAGACTAAAATTAATTATTTTAATGTTTTATATATATTTTTTTTTATTTCTAAGTCCCTGATGATTGGCGTCCCCGAATGGCGCCCCTCCAAGTAGGCGCCCCAATACAACTGCCCCGGTTGCCCCACCCTAAGCCCGAAACTGATTGGAATGATATAAATATTTAAAATAAGTTAAAAGAATAAAATATGAGGGTAAATAATTTTTTATTTATTAAAGAATATTCGGACCGAAAAAGGGTTAATTAACCGGAGAGTTCAGATGGTTACACAACGCCGAATTGCGTGATCTGTATCTGGGTAATAAAATTGAGGTGATTTCATCCCGGCGAATCAAATGGGCTTGTAAAATTGTTGGGCTTAGTAACGAGCGAATTCCTAAAAGGTTAATATTTGCTGTGGTAATGGTAAACGTTCGAGGGATAGATCGAAGCGAAGGTAGAAAGATTGCATTAAGGCCGATCTGAAGAGATTAGGTTTGGACGGCGAACGGTGGAGGGAGATGTGTATTAGGCCATTCGTGGTGCCGACATCGAACCTTCGGATTCGCTAAGCCTTTTATTATTATTATTAAAGTTGTTTTACCAAATAACCTTTTCTGCGAAAACTGACTTTCATATCAAACGACCTAATACATTCTACAATCTACTCATTTATTCTTAGGACTCAGTCTGGCCCATTTCCCATTTAGTGTAGTAATTATACCAACCGAATAATTTTCTTTCTGTCTAATGCTTCCTAAACTAACATTAATAAAACAAAAAAAATAGTTGACGTTTAAAGGCGTCATTTGTACTTCACAACTTCGGTTTCTTCGATAGGCAAAGGATGATAAAAAATACTAATAAATATTTTTATGAAAACATGCACACAGTTTTAAAACTTAACAGTAATGTAATTGAAAAAATAAACCCGTTTATTTTTATGTAGGGTATATATGGACATCATTTTCTTCTATACCCTGGAAAAACTAAAATCAACGTCAAAGAGTTAATTAAATAAAACAACTGTTCAAGCAACGATGCTAAACTACTGAAGGCTCAGGATTTATTACTGTATTATAAGGAGTTGGTTGTTCTGTTCGCAGATAGGCTGGAGCGGGAACTCTCCCGGCTACCAGGCGCAGTACCCTCCGGTGTTCCCCGAGTACCAAGACAGCGGGGAGAGTAAACGGAGCCCCTCGCCGCGTCCCAACCTCTGCAGGATCTGCGGCAAGACGTATGCGAGGCCGTCCACCCTCAAGACCCATCTGAGAACGCACTCTGGAGAGAAACCTTATCGCTGTGACGATTGCAATAAGAGCTTCAGCCAGGCAGCCAACCTCACCGCCCACGTTCGAACGCATTCCGGAGAGAAACCGTTCAGGTAGGCATGCTCACAAGTGACGATTTGAATAGGATTGGCAACAAACAGCTAATCGCTAGCTATTGTGGTTGTTTATTCTCATTCCAAAAATTTCACGGACTCTCCAATGTTATTTTTCCAAAGAGGTGTATCTGAAATTTCAAAGTAACTTCAAAGACAAAATATTGAACTTTTTCTTAACTCACACAAGTTATTGTACTTTTCTAAATTCATCATTCTTGATTTTCATATCTAGAAAACTGTTCTATGTTCTGTCATTTAAATATGAAGATGTCATATAAATAGATTGCAAAATATTGTGTTACATTCCATTTTATTAGGCATTTAACGATATTTTGTTTTCATTTATGTGGCCTCATAGTCCAAAATGGACTTTGGCCTCCAGAACAATTCGCCTCCATTCTTCTCTTTTCTGAACCATTCTTCACCAGTCAGTTACTCCAAGTTTACTGAGATTTTCTTCCAAGTCCTTTTTTAGTTTTGTCAAGGGTATCCTCTCTTCTTCTTTCCTGGGAAGAATTCTCTTTTGTAACGTTCTTCACTATTCCTTCCTTGGATACCTTTGAACATGCCCAAGCCATCTGATTCCTCTGGAATTGATCAATCTTACAATACCCTCATGGTCATTACCTCATCCAGCTCCTGATTATTCCTTATGTGCCTGATACCTTGTTCACAGATAGGACCAAAAAAGGCACTTGACAATATACATGCTTCAATTTACAAAATATAATTTGATTTTTAGAAATTTACCGAAACTCAAAAAATGGATGCTTAATGTGATATGATATGGGGATTTTATCATTCATTTACTTGGTTAAGTCCACATGATGACCAGTAGAACAGGAATTTCTAAGCCATACTCCCAAATGGCCACAAGGCATACTGTATATAAACTTATTTATTTAGTACATAAAACTTCGAATAATTAGGACTTTCCTTCCTATCTTATTTAAACAGTAAAAGCAAATTTTAACCTTTACATGTTTAATACAGGTGCCCAATCTGTGCCAGGAGGTTTTCCCAATCAAGCTCAGTGACCACTCATATGAGAACTCACTCTGGAGAGCGCCCCTATAGATGTCGCCTCTGCAAGAAAGCCTTCTCTGACTCAAGCACCCTCACCAAACACCTGAGGATACACTCTGGAGAGAAACCCTATCAGTGCAAACTTTGTTTACTCAGGTAAGAGGCTAATATGCAAAAAGTGGTGTTGAAAGATCTGAAATTCTCCTGAAATCAACACACTAAACTTACAGATATTAAACAAGTAAACTTACTCAGGTTTAACAACTAAAATTTCTAATATAATTTATATAAGGATAGTTTTTATATTCTTATTAAAACAGTTTTGTTTGCATAAAATGATCAAGTAAAATTAAACACCATATGTTCAAGATAATTGAGAACTAACTAAAAATGTGAAAATTCTGAAAAATATAATTTAAAATGAAGAGAACTTGGTTTGGGTGTTCAGTCAAAAAAATAAAATGTAAAAATAAATAAATGATATTTATTGTTATTTTTTCTAACATTTCGGTTCAAAGTTCAGGCTTTCTTCAGGGCTGATCCCACGAAAGGTTCCCGTAATTAAAATTTTTTTATTTATCTAATTTGATTGAAAATGGATCATTTATTCAATGCTAATGAGTATATAAGTAATGAATAGAAACTTGTTTATCCACATTATATGAATGTTTAGCTGGGAGCAATCATTGAGATATCAAGTACTACTTCATACCTCGGTCACTTCTTTAAATAAACAAAAATAGCATTTTTTTTTTAATCTTAATTTTTTTTTATACTAAATAGGAAATTTAGTAATTGTTTACAAAATTTAGAGTGCCATTCCTTACTACAAAAAACAAAACACATTTATTAAATTAGAATTTTTAACAATCAACTTAGAGTTTAATTTCCACAACATCAAATATATAAAGAAAAAAACATTAGTTATTTTTGTTTTAATACTTTCGATGAGAGTAAATTAAAAAAAACAAACAAAAAAACAGTATGACAATGGGAGGAGTACTACTAGTGAATTCTTCAATATATTTTATGAATAAATTATTATCTGATGTAACAAATGGTTCTGGCATGAACTATGGCATGAAAAAATATAAACAGAACATTTTATGTGAAAAGAAAAAAAAAATAGATTTTTCTTTATTAAAATATAAATAAATGATCACAAAATAAAATTGAAATTTAAAAACTATGATGTACCAGAATATAAATTTGGGAACAAACCTACAAATAAAATTTCAAATATATGAATATGAAAGGCAAAATAGAAATAAATAAAAATGCAGATATGGTATATCAAAATCACTGTTCATGGGTGTATTATGGGAAAGTGGGAAATATTCCTGAAAATATAACATCGAATATTCCTGCACACCAATGACTGTATGAAAAACGATAACTTCAATATAAGAAAAAATAAAGTATTGTTACGCTATTCTGAAAAAATGCATCTGATATTCAGTATTTTAACATTTTTAAAAAAGAAAAAAAATTCAGAGGAAAATTATTATAAGCAATAATTGTGACAGAAAATTTAAATAAAGTACTTAATCTTAAAGCAGATTCAGAAACATTGCTATATCTTATGCAAAGTTATTAAGTAAATAATATAACTCATCTAATGGCATATTTCATAATTAAAAATTTCTCAAATAATGTGCACCTTTTATTATTTTCTTTTTATCTTTTTATCTTTTTATTCCATGTTAGGATCATATAAGTATACATAATAATTTAGTGAGAAGTTCTATAGAGGTAGGTATAGAATAATAATGGGTATTTCTTGGTAAGGAATAACAACTTATTTTCTCAGTTAAAGATAGACACTCTCAATAATATCGAACTATTTAAAAGCATGAAGATGATACACTCAGTGAAGTTTCAAATGAATAAGTGAATAACATATTCACTGTTATGAGAAAATTGCATTTAAAGCTTAACACTTGCACAATGTTTTAAGAAATCTCACATCTATGAGCTGTTTGAATGGTTGAACCAACTGTTGAACTAATTTTGGAGGAAAAAAAAATTATATATATTGTAACGTTCCCTTTGTCAACATAAATCAAACAACGAGTTTCCTTTTTCAATATATTATTTATTTTGACACATAACATTAATTTCAGGTTGGGTTCGGACAACTGAACACTCATTCAACATTTAATAACTACAATGTACACTAATTACTAACTACACTTATTTATAATTTAAAATATTTTATAAAATAATTTGTCCCGGTCTAAACTTTTGGTTCTATCCCTCTGTCTACATAAATGGCATTGTTAGCACTCACCCAAATGTTTACGCCTGCCAGCGAAATAATATTTTCTTACTTACGAATGTCCCGTTTTCTGTACCACTTAATTATTTTCTGCTATGTTGTTTTCTTTCAACATAAAATAATCTTCACTAGTGGCCTCTATCAACACTCGAACCGGCTAGGACTCCTTTTTCTATTTTCTCAACTTGCTGGCTGGCACCTTCTCACTTGGCAGCTGGTCACCTTCCCTCTTGACAGCTTGTCACATTCTCTCTTGGCCGCTATCACCTTCATAATAATACCGTCACCTTCTGAGTTACATGAGGCTTGCTTCCCCAACTTCTTCCCCGTAGTTCGTGCTGTTACCGCTTTTGCGCCATTATTCAAGTGCCATGTAATGTTGACATTACAATATATACTAGGTATATATTAAACTTATTTTAATGTGCATTTTTTTTTTGTTTAGTTTCTTGTTTTAGTGACCTCACTGAGGCATAGTGTGGCTCGTTCAATATTCTGTTAAAATAGGTCAATAGCCTCTGTGAAATTGAATATACTGTTGGAATAAGTCAACAATTTTTTTTTTCATTGGTCCATAATTGTTTAAGTAAGTGATCTAAGCAAAATATTTACATAACGACAATATACTCTCTTTCAAAATCATAATGCATATACAGATACTCTATGTAAGCAGGTGTCAAGAAAAAATATAAGAAATTTAGATCTAATAACATTGTTGTTCCTATAATTATCAGGTCATAAAGGTATTATTTTTAGTCATTGGGATATTCTTGTGTCAGTTAATATTTATTTCTCGGTAATCCTAAGAAATTAATGTTGGCTCTCCAATCCGGGTTAGTACAGAGCAATAACCTCAACATAGTTGTCAAGGGTGGACAAAAAACCACAAATTTCCCTGGCCAATACTAGTAGAATGAGTGTTCCGTATACTATAGTCTTTTATTTTAGATTAGAACAAAGGTAATCCACTGGGTTAGATCTGGGTAAGAGAACATTATTAAAAAGGAGTGTGAACGAAAATCATGGCGGAGGGAAAGAGTCACTGCATATATTTCTATTAATTTTGGGAAGCTAGTGCACCATCATTCATATAATTTAAGTATTATACTCTCTTTTCCAATAATGCATAACTTATGAATATTAAACTTTTAAAAAAATTATGCTTCTTTATAATTATTTTTTATTTTAGATTCTCCCAATCTGGAAACCTCAACAGGCATATGCGCGTACATAGTGGAGTACCCTGCTGACGATACCTAGACTGTGAGGACACTTCCTCAATGTAGCGAAAAGATTCTCTTTTATTTGAAGCACCCTATCAGGACTGAAAAGAATAATACAAAACAAATATTGAAAATATATTTTGTGTTTGATCAATTACTAAAAATTCTCAATGAGTTAAAATATAGATATAATAAGACAAAGAATTATTCTAGATTGGAAAATAGGAATACAAGAGTTGAATACAGCTATATATTTTATTATATTAAATTATCTCTTTTACATGAGTCTAAAATGTAAATAATGCACATTGATTGTGAATATCTTAATGTTAATGAATGAATGTCTTATACTAATTTATATTATCTTCTTTTCCTTGATAGTATTTAGAAATTATGATCATAGAATATTAATTTCTTTGCTAATTGGTTATGAAAGATATGACACTTCCTATACTAAAACTGTAATTAACTAGATGCCAAACATTGTTTCGTTGAATTTGTTACATCTGAAACTTATAAAAATAGAATTTCATTATTTATATTAATAACTATGACTTGATAGCTACTAAGTAATTAATCTAAAAATATTTTTTATTTATACAGATATAAATTTTATAGCAGATATGAAATTAACTTTAAAAACATAGATTGTAAACCAATTTAAAAAAAATATCTGCCATTTTTTTTTAATGCATTATTTTTCATCCCTTGGTTAATTATAAATTATTAATTTTATTATTATAATGAGGGATGGGAAGTATTCTTTATAGTGACCAATAAGGATCTTTGGTGAGAAGAGATTAGAATCTAATTACCAAATTAGTATTTTATATATGTGTGTATATATATATATATTAAATACTGATATAATCAAATCATTTAAAACAATAAACACATCTATTATTTTGTGTTTTTGGATAGATGTAACAGTGTTTTTACTGTAAAACAGCTCAAATGCTTTACACAAGCATATAGATGATTTAATAAAAAAAATGCCAGAGGTAAAAAATGTAGTGCTACTTCTATAGTTTCAACAACTGCATATATTTTTTAATTTTGAAAAGATACATTGCTGATGCGTAATGAGCATTCAGTGTTTGCAGAAAAACTAACTTTTTAATACACCCATTCTATACTCATTAAAAAGTTTAGAAAGGTACTGAAAAGCTCATTTCGATATATTTCACATTGAAATTTTTTTTGCCATTTTTGAATATAGTATTCTCAACATCATTATTACTTTCCTGGCACCTCTATACTGGAATTTGGGCGAAATGTACATCATGTTTACGTATTTTTTTTTCTTTCTATTAAAAATATTGGCAAGTCTGTAGGTGTAACATAATTTCTGATAAATGCAAACAAGTAGTTTCCGTAATGATATTTCAATATCTATGAAAGGGAAATTGATTGTATGAATTCAAAATGTTTATTAATTTAAGAAGAGAAACATTGTCTCACACCTCTTTTAATAGAGCTCCCAAACTTTCAAATCTTTCTTCATTGTGCCATTTTTAAAAAAGAGTTTTATAAATTTTAAAAAATAAATCTTTCTTCATATGAAAAATTCTAAATTACAATATAGGTATAATTTTTCATATTCTGTATTTGTATATTATTTATTTTAAAATTATTAATTCATATTTTGGGTATTTAACATAAGTTCTCATCAGTCAAATATTTGTTTGATATATCTGTTTGTTTTTACAAGCTAAAAAAAGTTGAAAAACTTTTTCTTAATGGAACTATCCACATTTCACTAGCATTGTTCAACTACTGATGTACAAAGAGTTGTCTTTGTTGTCAAAATAAAATATCAAAGTTTTATTAGCTTAAAATCAAATTGAAGTAAGAAAATGTACCGAATCTAAAATTCTTAATTTGATTGATAAATTATAGGTAAAGATTTTATTTTACCATATTTTTTTAAAACCAATTATCTGAGTTATTTCTCCAAGCAAATTTTCAATTTATTTACAAATATGATTTTATGTTGTTTATTAGCATTCCTATCTGAAGATCCAAGAATTCCTTTGGAGTTCATAGAGTAAATTCTTGGATTCTTAATAATATATGTGAGAAACATGGTATTAAATTTACATTGAATATGGCAAATTACATAGTTTTACATGAAATTTTGACAGAAGTAGCCAAACATTAGGGATCTCTGGTAATTTTATTATCTTTATTTATTCGTAAGTATCAGCCTCGAAGATTAGTCATGTATCCTGTAATATTTATATCAAATCAAGGTTTTATTATCAACTTTTATGGTTATAGAATACAAATAAATTGTATTAAGCCTAATAATAGAATTAACTTCTTATTAATCAATATCTAAATTGCTTTGAAGAATTACTTAAAATAATTAGTGTATAATCGAAACAGTTATATAATTTAGTAACAACATTGTAAACATTGCGATAAGTATTATTAAGAATCACAAAAATCCGTCAACTTAATTTCTAAATTGGAATTATAGTTTTAATGGAGTAAATTGTGTACTTCCTTTATTCTAGTCATAGTCACATATTGTACTTTAACTGTGATAACACTTTTTTTTACATTTAATTGTTTAAAAAATTCCATGTCTATTTAGGCAATAAAATAAAAAGGTGCATTGTTATATGTTATAACACTTTAGAGATATTCTGTAATGATTCTTAACAGCATTATTTGTGAAATCAATAACTACTGTAATCTGACAGTTACGAGAATTCATTAAAAGTTGAAGAATAAATATATTGTTATTAATTTTCCAAATCTTTACTATCCTTCTTTAATGGAATTACAATTAAAGTTTTTGTTTCTACATCTATATTTATTTTTTCTCCTCAGCTTTTGCCTCAAGATCCAATTTGATAAATAATAACTCTCGATTTATAAAATCATTTTTATTTGAAATTTTAAATAATAAATTGTGAGTTAGTATTTATCAAATTTGATTTATGAACAAAAAGGAAAACGAGAATAATTAATGAAAAAAGGTCAAAACTAGAAACTAATAAATCTATATTTGTTATTTATTCTTTTAAAGTGTTCATGGTTGTCTATTATTTTTCTAAGACCTAATGAAGGTCTATAATTCACACTGATATGTCAACACACTTTAAGAATAAGTTAACAATTATTATGTGTTTTTCTTTCTCGATCCCTTACACTTTTTGATTATTTCTACAGTAATGATTTGTTCAGCATGACTAAAATATGTATTTAGAAATTTAAGCAATAGCTGTTTTTTTATGATAGTCTTTGATAAGGCAATACAATGTGTTGCAAAATAAAGCCATATGTCTTATATTCCATGAAATATTAAATTTTCAAGATAAATTAATGGATTTTTTTAGTTTTTATAATTAACTAAAATATGGTCCTTGTTTTTATACCTATAATTTGTACAATGAACAAATTTTAAATCTCTCTCCATAAATATTCATAATTTAAAAAGAAATAAATTCTTGGAAGACATTTTTGTATTGCATCACCGATTTTAAATATTAGACTTAACATAATTCTAAGAGCTTGAAAAGAAGTAACCGGTTGCTAAGAAAAATGGTGGATTCAGAAGAATTTCCATTTCCAGACTGATTTTTGAATATGATATTTTCCACATCATATTCCAAATGGTAATAATCATAATAAACCTGTAATGACAGAGAACTGGGCCATATTACATATACTTCAAAATTAATGTTTAATATTTAATGTTTAAACTACTGATAAACATTAATAAAAATTAATGTTTAACTACTGATAAACAGATCAATTACTTTTCATTTGCTCATATTCCATCAATGTCTTTCTTCTAAAAACCAGAATTTCACATGACTCAACCACATTGTTAGACATTTTTTTAATTTTTAGTAAATTATAGGAACAATTTAATATAGTAAATAATGATAGAATAAAAAAAAGAAGAAAATTGCTAAACAGTAAGTGTTTGACAAAACATCAATAAACATATAAATATCCTCTGATTCTTCACTGAACATGGCATGTTAATGATAACTGTTCTTCCTTATTATTGAGGAACACCCAAAAATAGTTTTTCTTTTCTAGGTCCAAGTAATAAGAAATGAATATGAATGTTCCACTCTACAAACCTATGAACTAATCTAACGAATCTAGCAGAAAGAATTACAAAAACCAAAGCTTAAAGGCTAAGCTTTGTACTTGAGATGTGAGCCTGATTAAGACATATATAAGTAATTTTATCAATATTCTCCTATCAAAGACATTTGAAATATTCTATTAATGGAGTGCTTCTGCAGGTAGGAAAACAGGATAAGCTTCTAGAGTATAATTTTTTAGCCAGGTCATTACTAAAGATCATATATATATTTTTTCTTAAAGACAATGATCAAGAGGATTTTTAAATGTATCTTAAGTTTACTAGAATTAGGATAAGCTAAATGAGTCTCAGTTTGAAATGTTTATAATTTTAACAGGATATATAATAGATAAGTTTGATAAAAAAACAAACATCGGCTTCAGCAATCTTAGAATGACATTTAGATGATTTGTATCTTAAAGTCCTTATTTCGAAAATATTTTTTGTAAGTTATCTGATTGTAACAGTATTATATTCTAAGCACTTACGGATCCAAGATTTAATTTTGGGGGGAGGGAACTTCAGCCCGAAAGATTTTTTTTTTTTTATGTACATATTACGATAATTACTTCGGAAGAAAGAAAGAAACTAAGTACCTATATGAAATGGTGTTTAAATAATTCTTTAAGTCCTATTAAATGTAATTAGACGAACAATAATACTTTTAGAGATATTTTTTTTCATAAAATATGGTTATATTTTACCGTTTTGGGGAGGTGAGGCTTCAGCCCGAGAGCTTCCTCCCTTTTCCCCCTCTTTCTCTCTATAGATCCGCCTGTGATTCTAAGGAAGGCAAGTAGTTTGTTAAAATGAGTTTAAAAAAAAAATTTAGAAGATAAATGGTGATGAGGAAGATTAATATTTATATTACTAGTATATTATAATCAACTTATTTAAATATTCAAAGAGCCAATCATTAGAGCCACTAAATTATATAAAAATGAACTAAGAATTATTACACATCTAAAATATCAGCAAAAAAAAAAATAGACCTTCAAAATTTAAAACCAATTTGATTAAAATTAAATCTTTATATTTTAAATTATTGAAATGATATAATTTTCTAGATAAGATAAATGTATTTGTAGAAGGAAACCTTGTAAGCTTGTAATCCTATTATAATTTAATGGAGACATCAGTTTCAGTGTTGCCTACTTTTACAAACAGTACGTTTTTTTTTTTAAGAAAGAAATAAACACAAATTTTTGCTAACCTAAATATTTTAAAGTTATAAAAATTATAAAATAAAACAGGGTTATAATAATTCATAACTTTAAAAATAATGTTCCTATTGTCTTTTTATTTATAATAATAAATTGAAAACTTTACCAAAGTTCACTGATTTTTTCATAAGTTAATTATTGATTATACATCATTCTATCATGTTTGGTGCAACAGAAATACTACGAAAAATTATTATTTTCACAGACAAAACAAATCACAAATGAAAAAAAATGGAAGATAAGATTCAATCCTATCTCTCTTAGGAGACATTTTTTCTTCTGATAATTAAGTTTAAGGACAGATAATAGAAAAAAAAAGTTTTATCAGTAATCTATAAAAGTGATAATTGCCTAGTTAAAGTGCTGACTGAGAATTAGATAACCAAAGAAAAAAAAATTACAGCCACTATTAGATTTCTTTTTTTAATACGAACTTGCAACTTTAAATATTACTATTGTATATAAAATATTGACTATTTAATATTACACAAAATAATATAAACAATTATTATTACAAAAAACATTATATATTTAACATATCATCATTGGTACTAATTTTCTATTTTATACATAAATATAAATATATCTAATTAAAACTACAAAAAAAAAAAAATTAACCCTAAATATAATTAGAGTGCTAGCAATGGATAAATTCTCTACAAGCCTTGCCATGCCATGTATTTCTCTGTATCACTTACTGGATGTATAATTATATCTGTACAGTTGTAAATTACATGATTAAAAAAATAAATGAACATAAATATGTATATATATATATATATATATATATATAATATATATATATATATATATATATATATATATATATATATATATATATATATATATATAATTTATATAATAATTTAATGCATACAATACTTCTTCCCCTCCTCTCCCTACATAATAAAATAATTGTTTTTCATTGGTCTTTATTTGTTTCTAAAAATAATCTGAGCCAAATACTTAAACAATCATAATACGCTCTCTTTTAAATTATAACGCATATGCTTCAGCTACTAAATATAAGCATGTATAAAGAAAAGATACGTTAATGTCCCTATAATTGCTGTCATTAAAAATAAAATAAAATTTAGCCACTTCCAAATTAATTACTGAATTATTCCAGGTCATAAACTGGTGGTGTTCAGATAGGCAAACAACATTGCATTGATGAGTGGATGAGATGATGCAATGGTTACTGGCAGGTGCTAAATATGGCAGAAAGATAGGGAGTGGAAAGAACAAAGTTGTGATGGTCAAATTGTGTGTAACCAGTGACACCATGAATATCACATTCAAACATCGAAGGTGATTTTTTAGTGGACGCTAGAGCTATTTAAGAAGAATAAGATATTTAATTTGATTAAAAAACAGCAACCAATATTATAAACAAGTCAATTTGACGATATTATAAACAAGAAGTAACTATAAAAATAAATACTATATAATCCATTTTTTGTTATTTATATTTTTCTTATTTAATACATTGGTTACCAAAGCGGTCACAGATCACCAACATGAAATTTCACCAAATTTCAAGAATCACCTGATCCTCAGAAAGGAAACTTTAGCTATACACCACAGAACTGGCAGGCTAGGATTCTTAGTTTTAGCAGATGACCCTGTCAGAGTGTAATAGCTGTGCATCATTTGCTTTTCATTTCTTTAAATATTATTCATAAAGACCTCAACATTCCCTTTGTCAAAGACTTGGCCTGACTAAGATACTCCTCTTTTAATTCCAAACTCCTTGGTCACCCTAACCCTCTAGTTCATAAACTATCATCCAAAACAATTCCTGACCACCCTCCGAGGCATCTGAAAAGAAGATGGCCAGGGGACCTTATAAATTAATTTAATTCTGAAAGTGCTACCAATGGGTAGTTTGTTTACAAGTTTTTATCATGTTTTATTTATCATTTTAGCAGATTTACTTATTGTATATGTATAAAGTTGTAAATATCAATAAAAATAAAATTAAAAAATTTCTTTAAATACATTTTGTTTTGTTTTTAATCAAACAATAATAAAGTCATGTTCATATTTTTCACGTTCTTTTGGCAGCAATGTTTTTTATTTATTTTAATTTCTAAAGCCTCTTTGCAAACAGAAAAATATTGAAGAAAGCAAAAATATAGAAACTAAAAAAATAATTAAAAACAAGTGCTTTGCTCTTTTGTCCAAAGGCTCTGCTTAATAAATTTAACTATTTATGACATATGGGCATAAAGAAACCTAAAAAAAAAAAAAAAATGAAATATTGTTCAATACTTGAGATATGGGTTTTTAAAAAATATGTAGCAAAATATGAAAACTTCTGAATATCCCTCAGCAGTACTATGGCACTTTAGTTCTTAAATAATTAAATATCTAAGAAAGATATATTATCTTTTAAATTTTGAAAATTTTGTTTCTTCAGTGATTTGATTTAGTATACAGAAAAGTTTATAACAGTGAAATGGAATCAATGTTTTAATAGTTTGTTTTATAATTTTACTCTATTAATATTTTACTTATATACATTATCTAATTAGTTGTAATTAAATTATAATATAAAAGGAGAGCTTATTATTGATTATTAGTATAAATTGTTTTAGATGTAAGAGGTACGGTGGGTTAAGGAGGGGATGAACTACCCCATGGAGGGGGGTGGTTTTGTAGTGGCAGCCTGTAACTATTGGAGACATCACTGCCCTGACCTTACATTTATGTTATAGATCCCATCGTTCTGGAAGAGAAAAATGTTTATTTTTGTTTATAGTTTATTTGCGAGTGTTTTCTTTGCTTCAGCTCATGTAATATGTGAAAATCAAACATATGTTTACAAGCAGCCTGGGAACGTCACCATAGCAGGTATTTTAAACAAGAACACTCATATTATTTAAACTAAATATTTAATAATACATAAATCTTTAATAATCGGTAAGTAGCGAGATCTTTTTATAATATTCTTTATTTATAAAGTTCTGCTCTTTAGACAAAATATTATTTAAATTGGTGATATTTAGTTGAAGTCAAATGACCTATTTTGTTTCATTGGTAATAAGAGAATAAATATAGATCTCTAAATAAATCAAAAAATCTACACAAAACGTACAAATAGGATATACTATTTATTTTTAGTTAAATGTTTATTTTAGAAGAAAAATACATTTGAAAGATAATGCTAACTATACTATGAAAAAGAATATAATCCACTACTAATCAGATAATAGTTTAAAAATAGCCCACTTTAAACATAGAAATTTATTCTGCATTACTGAGGGTTCTTTTACATGTTTTACCTCAATGGTGCATGTATAAATTTGTTTTTGGAAAACTAATTTTCAATAAACACAATAAATGTATACAGTAATAACATCACATTAATGTATAACAAAAATAATTTAAAAATAAAATATTATTGAAATATTTTGATGAATTTCTTTCATTATTAAAAAAATTCACTAGTTTTAAGATTAGGGACATAACTATGAAATGACTATTAAGGGACATAACTATTAAGATGAGGGACATAACTATGATTGATTGTGCAGTATAAAAAGGAAGTGTTATAGAAATAAAGCCAGCTTTAAAATAAAGAAAAAATCATTTGTGCACAAAAATAAAATAGTTTTTATTAAAACAAATTATGAAAATTAATTATTTGGATGAATCCTAACATTAAAGTGTAAAAAAACATTTTAAATAAATATCTTTGCTCAGAAATAAAAGGTAGAAAATATACATGATTTATATCTTAAGGGAGGAAAAACATTTTGTGGTAAAATTTGACCACTCCAAGCAAATGGCTTACTAGAAATTAAGAAATAGATCAGATTATGCTTTGGTAATGAAAAAAAGAGAAGCTTAAGAACAGCTGATTTATTATAATTATATTATATTTAGACAGTTAAATTTGTTTGAATTCTTTCCTTTCAAATATTCTACAATGCCAATATTTTGATTGAATTAATTATGCTTGTTGTCGATTAGATACAAACCTCTATTTATAAAAAACACCATTTAACTACATATTAAACCTCCGTTAAATCTTGGTTGCTTGGGAACTAAATACAAAGATAAAAATGAGATGTTAATTATCATAAGCAAAAACTTACCTTTGTCCACTACCTTTTTATTACTTTGAATTTAAAAAATATCTTTAATAAATAATTATAACAAATACAGTAGAACTTAGTGAATCTAGCAAATCACAATGTTTAAAAATCAAAAAGTTATCACAATTTTGGTCAACAAACCTTTCATTGAAAACTTAAGGAATAAGTTTTTTTTTTCTTGTTTCTCTTATTTATATTGCCTTATTTAGATAAAATGTGAAATCATTAAATTGTTATTAGTAAGTTAAATAAAATCATTCTTCGTGATTTTAGTGAAAGTTACATTTAAGTCTCGAGGACTACTCTAACAATCCGAAAAAGGATAGCTTTAGACAAATAGCTTCCAGTGAGATTACTCTGAGGAGACAAGGGCTATTGCTAGGGGAGGGGCTAACATTAATTTTTAGTTTATACAGTTCAATTAATATAAATAATATTACTTTAATATAAAAACTAGCAAAATCTTTTTATTATTCGGTTAATTTTAGTTTTCAGTATTTTTCTGGTGTAAAGATATTACTAGTTTAAGTGTCTACATTATTATATCTATTAAAAGATAGAGAGGGGTGAAAAAAACATTTTTTCAGGTAGGCATAGGAACATTGAAGTTGGAAACCGCTGCTATAGAATAATAAAGAACTTCAATTTGCTCTAAAATTTATATTTTAAGATTTATTATTTATCATTTCACATTTTCAATGCCGTCCCCTTAAAATGTTCCAAATATATTAAACATATTTTGGAATTATTTAATGGTAATATACAACAATTTACTAAAATTGACAGTTTATGGTGCAAAGATACAATTAAATTAAATAAGTTTCCTCCAATTAAAAAGTATTAAGAGGCTACAATTATCTCAATATACAACTATAATGTAAACTCATTATAAAATATAAAGATTCAGTCATAATAGATTATTCACAAAAGCAGAAATAATGATTTCTTTGTTTAATTCTAGTGCAATTGCATTTCATCCAGAGCACTATTTTCAAATGACAATAGATATAATGTACTGTTTAATGACATTGTAATCAAATTTAAATTAGATGATAAAAATGAAAATTTTAAATCACTTAAAAATCAATTTCTTAAATAATTATAATTCCATACAACTGTGGTTCAAAGATTTTTATTTTTTAGACATTTTGTCACAACATTATAATGAAAAGCTCTAAAATTTAATTTTGAATTAATTGCATGATGCAATATCATAAATTAATATTTCAGTTTTTTTAATCATTAATTTGTAAAATTTAATTTTTGTAAATATCCTTGGATTGTAATCAGGTTATTAAGAAGTAAATAATGGTCTATTCCAGCCAGAACCAAAAACAGCCTAAATATTATGATAAAAAGTGGTAGAGAATTTTTATGTTTTGAGTTTTTCAAAAGAAAAATAGAAAAGATACTGATACGTAGTAGACTATATTTAACAAGAGCTTATCTTATTATGAATTTAATCTATAAAGTCATTGTATAAAATAGCATAATAGATATTAAGTATATTTACTTCATATATACTTCGATATGACATGCATAAACTTCTACACATTTAAAAGTTAATACGCATAAGTGGAATTCAAGAATTATTCAAAGTTTTTGACTAATTTTTAGATAACAACTGTTTAATAGATATCAAATCGTCAACTTGTTAAAATTTCATCAAATAGTTCTGCTCTGAAAGGAGTTTTTAAAAATTCACATGTAATTGACACTTAAAAATTAAACAATAATATTCTGAGAGTTCTTTAATAACTTGATTAAATGGATTTGGCAATAAGTTTAATAGTAGTAATAAAAATAATTTCTAGCTTTGATCGGAATTCACTATGGTGAAGGTTGCTCAGTGCTTAGAAATCAAGGTCTTGAGGCAGTGCAATCTCTGATAACCGCTATAGAAGCTATAAAGATTAACAACATCATTCCTGGACTAAACATAGGTAATTACTATACATCATTGATTAATTCAATAAAAGATATTAAGCAAAAAAAAAAAAAAATTAAGGTTCAGATTTAGCCTACTTCAATATGATTAAAAGAATGTTTTTTGAATAGGTTTAACAGTCTACGATACCTGTTCTCAAGAGGACATGGCTCAGAAGAATGTTATATCAGCAATAGTAGATGCAGAATGCAGTAATTCATTTCTACTGGGTAATAATATATGGACTATATTATTTTTCAATAAATAAAATTGTGCTTAAAAATATAAACATTTATTAAACAAGATTTAGTACTGTCCATATACATATAGACTCATGGTTAAATCATTTTCTGTACTTTTTAAAAAAATGTATAATGCTTAACCCTTTGACTGCAGGAGCTCATTCACGAGTTTCTACCATACATTGCATCCTGAAATCCACAAAGACCTACGAAAATATGGATTTTTTTTTTTCATAAATTAGTTTAAAATACTATTTTGAGTCACCTTGCAAGATCTTAGCTTTCAAAAATGCATTTTAACATTTTTATTAAACTTTTAAAAAATAGGATATATGCCTTCCCAGCAGCATATGACAATGCAAAATAAGAGCGGCAATCTCACAAAACTTCGCTTTCTTGCGTATTTTCTCATTTCTGAAAAGCAAAATAACTAAAAATTATCATAAAAATAACTGTAAGTGATCATAAAAATTAAATTATTTTATTTATAAAAAAAGGATGGTGGGATTCGAATTATATATTTCTTTGAATTCACAAATCTTTTTCTTACCTAAAAAAGTTTCGTATTGAAACATAGAGCAGTTATAAATTTTATTATTGCACTTACATTTATATTGAGTTTCAAACACTTTCATATTATATGAAATAATAAATATGTATATATTGTTTAGGTGGATGTAAAAATGATAAAACAACTAAAGGATCATTTTAATTCTGTATATTTTTACATTTATTAATTTTTATTACTACATTATATATATATATATATATAATGTAGGAAATTTACATTGAGTAGCCATAGATTCACATGTACCAAAATCAACATTCAGTCAAAACCAAACTTAAAAAAAAAAGGTTATAAAATTTACTAAATTATAAAACATTTAAATAGAATATAAATAAGATCATGGATATGACACAAATAACAAATAAATGACATACCTTGGGTTCAGAATAAATCTGCAACTGATAGCTTCTGAATGGCCAGAATCTGGAACGACTGCACTGAGTCAGCTACAGGGGACTAATGAATGCACCGACCAAGCCACTAGTCAAATGGTGAAGGCGGGACTTGCCCCTACCTGTTTAAGTGGTGACCGCCTAGGCGGGAAGGCATATATCCCGCTCGCAACAGTGACCCAACTCTTAACGGGAAGGTGTGTATCCCATCCGCAGTCAAAGGATTAATGTACTAACCATGTCTATAATAATTTCATTCAACATTCCTTTACAAATTTCAATTATCTGGTTTTAAATAATATATATATATATTCATATTCTGTTGTGGTAATCTAAAAAATATAAGTTGGGGCAGAGATATTTTTGATAATTCTCAAACTTAACATATTAATTTGAGTTAAAAATCAAACAAAAAATATTTATTACAGGAGCAGTAATGGAAAAAGAAACCCTAAGTCAGGTTAAAAATATATCAATAAATGTTGGCCTTTTTACTTTCTTACTGACTACTGGTGTATCAGAAAGGCTAATTTCATCGATGGTAGTGAGAATTCTATACGAGCTACACTGGATACCAGTCGACAAAGTTTTGTCAGAAAATGAAAACATAGCCAACGAATTTATAAGGACTGCTTCAATACAAAATATATGTGTGAAAAATCAGCACAAACTAAATGAAATGTAAGTATCAATGAATTAAACCTTTAACTAACTTAAAAGATGATAGCAGTCATTGAATGAGACCACCCTAGAAATCATTGATTGCAACAATTTGAGTTGTGGCTTGATTTTCTGACAGTAATTATGTGGAGGGATATTTCATGGATCTCAAAGGTAGCCTCGTAAGGACTAATCTTTTGGATAATATTTAATACCATTAATTTGATTTTTTATTTTGTTGAATGAAAATTGAAGACAAAATATTGTAATATATTATTGATACCTGATGAATTGTTAATATAAAATCAAAAATTATAATTTTCGGAAGAAATACAATCCTCTACATGTTTTTCTTACTGGTTATCAAAATTTAACAGGCATCTCTAAAACATTATCAGTATTAAAAACCTAATTTCATAACATTTCCAATAAAAATAATTATTTTGCAACAAGAAAAAATCCTCCAATCGTAGTCCTACACTCATTGGCATGGATAGGCAAATGCTACTCTGAGTACAGAGTATCAATTATTTTACTCAAATTGAATCACTATTAGGAATTCAATCACTACTTCAGTTAATCGTTTGACATCAACTGAAGTGGTAATTAAAATCTTTGGGACTCAAAAAAGGTCAGTACTTAAGTAAAATACTTGGTACTCAATACTCAGAGCAGCATTTGCCCTTCTCTGCTCATCGTAGGTCCCTAGTCATCGTAGTCCTAGTCTAGTAGGTCCGTAGTCCCTAGTACCCATCAAATAGTTACATACATAATACATTTCATTAGGAAATTAACTTTTGAACAACTTTTGCATGGTTAAATATAATTTATTTTTCATTACACTACATTCTCTAAAGAAAGAAAACTGTACCTTAACATTCTCTGAGAAATCTTGTATTCATTACTTAGAGAAGTTTCTTGATCTATAGTTACCTACATTCCATTAAAAAGATAGATGCTCAGTATGTTCCTAATCCTACAACCCAAGAATTAAATTACAGCTGATAGGTCAAGAATTTAATTTCGTCTCAAATCTAGGTCCTGAAATTAGGAGTTTATTCGTTTTCTGTTTCATTCATGGCATACAATCCAACCGCCTTAATCTTGCTATGATGATCACTAGACGTCTCAATGAATATACATTCTGGCATCATGACCTGCCCAAAAAAGTTAATTTAATTTTATCACTGTACTGATATCTATATTGCTGAACAGAACAAATATTTCATATTTACTATTCTTTTAATTAGCAGGCTCTAAGATTCATCTGAAAAATATGGTGTTTTTGTCAGTTGCCTTTGCAAAAGAATAGGTTTCCAAACATAGATAAGCACAGGGCAATCAGGATTCCATGGTTACTTTTGTTTGCTTTAAAATTGAATAACTGGAAATGCGATTTCAAAGCAATATTTATTAGAGGTCATTTATTTGCTTTTAATTATTTTCCTATCCAATTATAATTGACTATATGTGATACCTAGCAGGTAAATCTGGATATCTGTTCCAACTCATAAGTTCTGAATGTAACTTTCCTCCTTAATTGCCAAGATGTTTCTTCAGGAAACATTTACTTGCTTCTCACTTAATTTTTTACCAGATCCAAATGTTAGTTGCAACTTCCAATGCCATGAACAAAATCACTTCTTACATAGAAAAAGTATGATATAAAACTAAATATTACCTTTATTGGCAAATGCTTTACCTTTTATGAAATGAATATAATTTTAACCATGGTTAATTAATCTTTTAGTTTATATAAGTTGATTTACAATAAGATTGATCTAAAATTTTCACAATTATTTTAGGAAGAATATAGAACCTTCTGATATAGCAGTGATATTCTCACAAAATACTAACATAACAGAAATAATAGGTGATGTAGCAGTCAACAGATTGCTAATAGTTCCATTAGAAGGGAAATATCAAACTCAAATAGGTAAAATTTATCAAAGAAAATAATTTGCTGAATATTTAACATTATTTATAGCAATTTTTGTTTAAACTATCAATAAATACTTATTTAAATCATATTAATTTTAGTAATACCTGTTGTAATTCATTATATAGTTGTTAAATCTATTTCAGATCCAAGAGAGACATCTGCAAAGATTTTGTCAATATTTCCAACCACTTCTGAGAAAATTCCTGCTTTGACAAATCCGTTTAACATTACAGAAAAATCTGACCAGGACAACATAATAGAATTGACAAAATCTCAAGTATCAATTCAACAACTGATAATTATGAGTGACATAATGAAGGTGGTAGGGATTTTAAAAGGATATTTAAAAATTCATTGTCCAGAAGAAGATACTTGGAAACTCTGCTCAAAACTTCCAAAGATAAAATATCAAGTACAAAGTAACACTTTACTTGATAGTATTGGTTCGCTTAAGATCAATATGAAACTCCTTAGAGTCGATCAAGAAGATTTTGAAGCCGCAGTCGTCATTGATTTGAAAAATAATCAGAAATTGGGTTCAGTGAGGATTTCAGATGATGACTGGGGTCTGGATGTAGAAGTGAATGTGACTGATGATATGAAACTTTGCAAACTAAAACCATCAAATGAAACAGTAGGATATGACTGTTCAGAGTGTTATAACTACAATCTGTTGTATAAGGAATATTTGGCAGAGCATGGACACTTTTTCATTGCGATAGAGATAAAACAAGAAGCCTGGGTCGCTGCTTTACTATCTATCTCGTCTGTGGGGGTTTTGTGCAGCATTGCCATAGCAATATTCATAATTGTACGAATTTGCAAGAGGGATATGCTTGAAGGGAACCCAGGCTTTTCTTTTTTACTTCTATTTTCAATCATGTTTATGTATTTATCAATTTTACCATTTTCCTTCCAAGTTAAAAGCATTCACAATTATGAAGGAGTTTTTTGTGGTCTTAAAATATTTGGAACCAGCCTCAGTTATGCTCTTGTGTTTTCAACCATGCTTGCTCGCAGTGTGATGTTGGCTTCTTGTGATGAAGATGGAGGATTCATGAGTCATGTCAATGGTTACTTGCAGACAGTTATGTTTTTCTTTATAGCAGCAGTCCAGATCGCATTGACGGTACAGTTTTGGGCTATCAATTGGCTACTATTAAGTGAACAACAGTGCCAAGAGATGAGCAGAGGGTCCTTGTTCCTCTTTCTCTTAGGCTATGACATGTTACTTCTTCTTTTGTTATTGATTATTTCACCTTTTATTATGAGGTCGAAAAGGAACTACCATGAGGGAGGGTACTTCTCTGTATCCACGCTGCTTTGCTTGACCGTCTGGCTAGCATGGTGCTCAGGATATGTTTTCTTGCCAGGTTGGGAAGAAGTTTTCATATGCAGTGGTCTAGTAGCAACAGCTACTGTTATTTTAGTTTCAGTTTTTATACCACGAACATATCTCATGCTAACAGGTATTGTAAGAGATCATATTGTAAGTACATTGCCAACTTTGGCCCATACTGCTTCAACAAGTGTTATTGATGTAAATTACCGCTCAACACAAGCCCTTTATGACTCAGTAACTATTCCAAGAGGAAATGGTAACCCAAATTACTATAGTGATCGCCCAACAACACCTTCCACTTCAAAGATGGAAGATGATGGAATCCATGAAAATGCATATGAGAGATACGAATCTTCGCCACCTCCTCATAATATAACAAGATTCTGACAAGAAATTCTCCTCGATTAAAATATAAAAAGAATCTATGTTTGAAGAATCATGAATTTTCAAAAGATATCAGTTAAATATTGAATAAGGTATTCCTTGAACATATTTTTAAATATTTTTTTTAATTTTCTTAAAGGGAAAGAAACATCATAGATACAGTTTACAAAAGCCAGGGAAAAAAAATACTACTATTACAATAAACTGTTCTAGAATAGAAGAATTTAATAGAAGTTTGATTATTCAAATTCTGCTGAAAAAAAAAAAAAAAAAAACTGTTCCTATGTTATATATTAATTATTATTATCAATATTTCTTTGCACGTACATTTTAAAATGAAACAGGGAAACACTATAACACCCAACTAATACTGTTTTGACCTTATTTATTCAACATTCACAAATATGCCATTAAAACTTGAAATGATTTTACATACTTTATAATTGTGCATTATAAACTGTTGAAAAGAAAGGAGAAAAAATTGTAGTTATAAAAATATACATATTGAATATGTTTTTCTGGAAAAATAAGGTCTCATTAATATGGTACTTTATGCTGCAAGAGAAAGTATGTTTGCTTAAATTTGAAACCAGCAGTTGCAATGATCCCAAACTTGCCAAGTACCTAATTCTAATAAATAGTAGTTTAGAATGTGAAGGACAATTAGGCAGGCAAGACATTTCGCCTAGATTCAGTGATGTGAGGAAAATATGAACCATATTAAAGTACCAATATTGAGGAACAAGTGCAGTGAAGACACAGAATAACTCCATCAATTTAACACCTATAAAAATAAGAATATACTTAAATGTAGAATGAAAAACAATTTTGGTTCCAGTTTTGAGTAGATTCCAACTTGATAACATCAAAGGCAATTGATGGGTACAATTAAAAAAAAATCAGTTCATGTTGATCAAGACCCTGGTATCTATATTATATTTATTTAATCTAATAACAATACTATAGATGATATCCAGATTTAGTATTATAAAAAAAAAAAACAATCCCTGATAGATAGCTAAAAAATAATTGAGAATATTGTTCTTGCATACCTACCTCAAAAAATCAAATAAAGTTCATAATTTAATCTGCCTCCTCAACTTAAGATGTTGGATAGTCTTTTATCAAGAAAAGTTGTATAAAAGACAGAGAACAGAATGAATACCAGTATCCTCTATATACATCTAATTCCAACAGCATAGTAATAAATTGAATGTAAATATGTAATATAATGTACATTATAATATGAGAAAATATAAATGAAAGTAAATATTATACATATAACTTTAAGCTATTTTACATTGAATGATCTAGTTTATGCTTGTTTACTTCATAAGTGTATACAAAAAATAAAAATAATATGTTTTATTTTATAATATAATACAATTACGTTCATAATTGTGGATAGATAGTAGACTGTAGTGAATAATTGAGGATAGTTGGGGAGATCAGGCAAAAAAAAATGTATGTGTGTGTATATATATATGTGGGGCTAGGATAGCCTTGCGGGCTAAGGCATTTGCAATAGGTAATCGAAATTAAGCAGCGCCGAGCGTGGCTAGCACTTGGATGGACGACCGTCTACCAAGGAAAGCCACCCTGCCCGAGATTCCTTCCCCCTCCACCTCTGGGTATGTGAGCCGTCAGCCTACTGGAGGCAACTCATACCGACCGGGCATAGGTTGATGACCCTACCCCGTTACTAAATCGGGAATTGGGATGCGGTCTAGGAGACCACACTCGCAGTCAAAAATCTTCATGGTCTGTAGCGCCAACCGAAAAAAAAAATAAAAAAAAATGTGTATATATATATAATGTTCTAGTCATATCTTTTATATATGTAATTATTTATTTTTACTATTTTTTATTTTGACTGATCACCCCAACCATCCTTCTCTTCTTGTGAGAACAAAGATAATACGTATGTAATAACATTTGTAAACATAATATTTGTAATAATCATATATTTAACTAATAATCCAAATACTGATTTAAATGTATGTAGTTTTAATTTTAAATGTTAAGCAGGATCGTAATATCAGTTATTAACCAAAACCATTTTAAAAAAAAATTTTTCCCATAAAACTGATAAGATTAACATTTATAAAATCATATAATAAATTTATGAAAATTTGTATTTGTTGTATATATAAATTATGGAGTTGTAAATATAAATCAAACTAACAAAGACATATTTTAATTTAGTTTAGTATTAAATACCTGTCGTACTATTTCAATGAAAATAATACTTACCTCATACTAATGACGATCTAACTGTACATTGACATAACAAGTTTAATCAAAATCATGAAACTATTTTTGAGAAAAATGTGAAAAAGTGTAAAATCTATTATATAAAGTGACACTTTTGTTAATTTGATTGTAGTGAAATAGCTACATAGAGCTAGAAAGTAGTAGGGTTTTATATTTATGTTTTAAAAAAAATTAAAATATAAAGCCTTAGCCATACAGAAGCCAATCTGTCCCAGTGATCTCTAATCTATTTGTCTGGAAAAAAAATCTATTAAAGATAATGGCCCAAACATGAACCATTAATAAGTAGCTATTTTATTATATCAAAGATATTCAACCAGAATAGTGGAATGCATGGCGAATTCATGATTTCCAAATAGAGAAACAGAAAGTAATCCGACAAGGAAGAATATAGAGAACAGTCACAAATGCTAGTTCAAGGTCACAATAATAAACAAAAGAGATTAGAATAATTAATTTATTTGACTACAGAGTGTTTACAGCAGAGTAATGTAACACTAACACTCAGTATTTTTCTCTTAAGAAAAGAAGTAAAAACAAAAATATCTATATCACAGCTAAAATCAAAATATTTATACCTTACAAATAGAACATACATAAACCAGATATAACAGATGTCATTGTATATTCTAGTAGCATTTAATACAATTAATATAACGGTATATATTAAACATTTAAATCTATAAAATAATGTTAAACTCTTGATCCAATTAAAGTAAATAGCAACGACAAATTTAAAATAGTTATTCAAGATTTACAACAAATAAGATTTTATATTACATAATGATACTCTCCTCTTATCTTAAATGATACTCTAAATATTAAAGTTTAAATCATACAAAATGTTTACAAATAAAATTTATTTGTACTTGAAATAAAAAAAAATTGAAACAATCAAAAAATATTATTAATCATCACTTTTTAATTCTGTAAACATATGACCAAAAGACTAGATTATAGTGAAATGTAGATATAGTTTTATAAACTTGATATCAACTTCAGTAAGAAAATAGAACCTTCTATCTAAATCCACAGATAACACAATAAGCCCATCAAAAATACAATTAAAGAGCTCTATTTACTCATGAAACAAATTTTCAATTCCCACAAAAAAAAAAGTATAATAGGCCGATTTATCAATTTTCATTCTGTGAAAAATATTCTCTCCGATAAAGACAAGTAAATGTAAATAAACTCCTGAAAAAAATTTAAATTGATATTTACTATGTACTTATATACATAAAATAGTTGTAGAAAAAAGCTTATGACACTAAATAATAACAGACAATTATACAAGGCAAATATACAATACTTATTAACTGTAAGTTAATAAAATCATCGAACAGATACCAAGTCTGAAAGTAGTTTCCAATCTGTCACCATAAAATCATGACAGTGAAAGAAAATTAGAAAAGATAATTCATAAATTGTAATCAAACTTTTTCGGAAGTAATCAATATGAACTTCATCAAATTTAGCAATTGATATACAAGAATGCTATTTAATATCATAATAGGCTTTTTAAAGGAGGAAATCTGCATTTATGATTGTTATGCATAATCATTTTCTTTATTTTATTGAAGTCAGATTTTAAACAATAAATCAATAAAAATTTTAAAATTCTGTACTTCGGGCTCACCAGAGGCCGCAGAGAGTGAGCTTGGAGAGAAAGGAATGGCCGACTGTTACTACTACATGGCAGACCCTCAGAATGAATTTCAATCTCCTAACTGAGGCTATGAGAGGTTGGTAACTCTCCTTTCTGCCCTGGTTTGAGCACTTAAGGAAAGAAATTTAACCCAAGAACCAATAAGTCTCAAAAAAACTAAAAATTAGTTGATGAGACATAACCTTGTGTAAAAGATTTTAATATTTATATTATTACAATGACAGCCACAGTTGAAAAAAAAAATCATAACTTCATAAACTAGTGCTCATAGAATGCATGATAAAAAACAGTGACAATAAGTTGAATATTGATTGATAGAGTCCTAATTTTTCAAAGTATATTATTAATAATTAATATATTATAACATTAAATTAAATGGTAAATTAATCAGAAAAAAACATATGCATAAATATTTGATAATTTTTTTTTTTAACTTTTTAACTTATATATTGAAGAATATTACGTTCTGTCTCAAAGGACAATTTGATAAATTAAAATTTTCAATTTATTTTCCTAAATTAACAACACTATCGTTAAAATTATTCTTCTGGAATTATCATATCTTTTTAAATAATGTCCATTTCTATTCTAAAGTAAAAAAAAAAACAATAAACATATATTCATAGACACTACTGCTTTAACATACCAAGTTCATTAAGATAAGTATCAATGTTATAAATATCAATGTAAATTATGATTATTATATTAAATATAAACCAAAAGAGGAATTGAATATATATTGAAATTAGTTAGATGTATAAGAATTATTAAATATTGAGATAATTTAATATAAGAGAATCGACAATTAGCTAAAACATCAAACTTTTATAATTGACAATTTTTTTAATAAACATAATTGAGACTTACCTAAATGATATGAAATACCCAATTTTAGAAATATAAATTGAGCCTCAAGAAAAACAACCAATAATTTTAAAAATAAGCAGAGAGAATTATTCATCCAATATTCAATAGTTTACTAAATTATAAAGAATCATCACAAACTGTCAATAACAAGATTATCATTTTTGTTGCAGTATTCAGAAATACAGGATTATCAAACAGATTTTGTACTTATTCCTATATGTATATGACAATTGACTCCCGTTCATTTTAAAGATGTTTGTAAAAAATATAATAGTTGTAATTAATATGCACAATAAAAAAATATATTATTTAATAAGAAATATCTTATAAATTAGTGCTATTTTAAAAACATGGGTTACATAAGTATACATTATAACAAAGTTGAATCCATTGTCTTTTCGTTGTAAATAAAACAACTGGGACCTAGTTTTCTTGAACTAATGCTTACTTCCTGCATAAAAATATTTTACAATTGAAAATTGAGTACTTGCATTAATTTTCAATCCTTATTCGTTTGTGAAAAATGGCTTATGACAATTATAATAATGTAAAAAGTCCTGATCTATATTTGCAAAGATAATTATTGGTACTGTTACTGCTACTGGTGGGAAGAACTAGTCCGATAAGTGGAAACTATCGTGGATCTTTTAGCCAACTCCTAACGGCTACCTTGAGGTTGCTGCCGCGAAATGAAAAGTAACCAACCCAGATGAGAATCAAATCCAGAACGTTCAAAACCGGGCACTCTGGGACCCATACCCCCATAAATACTTGACTATCCCGTCTGCAAAGACAATTAATATTAAAGATAATTGATGGGGATGGATCTATGACACATCTACACAATGGCCTGTCAGTACTACAGGATCTTACTGTTGATTATCAAATAGCATTTTGCTTACAATAGTAAACTTCCATTCAAGAAATATCTCCCTGTTTTTTCTCTGACTTTGTTGTCTCTGAACCAAACATTCAGTTTAAAATATATTTTAAGAGCTTTTATAAATGCATGCTCATAAAATAGAACTGAGAGAGGTTTGAGAATATTGTGTTAGGCAGACATACAAGTCACTCTACAGTGGCCTGAGGCCACACTCCCGATCCCCACCACATCTCTCACACAGAAGCACTATTATTTGAAGCTTTTTGTTAAATATTGAACTTTTTTCCTTATTCAAAAAGTAAATCTTAATCTAATATAAATTCTTAATCACTTGAATTCTATTGCAGCTCAAACTTACACGTCTTTTTTTTTATATATTTGTTTTTATGCAAGCACCCAATGAAAAAATGATATTAATTCGCATTAGAATAGTAAACCAAACATATAGCTACTGTTAGTGCAAAATATTGTATGTAAAAATTGAGTTTTTTTTAAAGAAGAGCATCACAAAAACAAATTATTTCTTTTTTATTTATTAATATAATTTTTCTAATTATCAGACTACTTTGATCATTTGCAGAATACAAAATGTCACCTTTAGCGCAAAGAGAATAAAAATATGTAAATTATTACATACGACCTTTTGAACTAACAGTAGCGATATATTACAATATCAAAGAAACACAAAAATAACTGGATATTTAGTAGCAAAATTTTACATGAAGTTTGTGAAACTAATAATTTCCTTCAATCAGTTGAATACTACTCTACAAAGATAAAATACAATTAAACCACTTTACATAAAAATGTATCAACAATTGTTTATTTTTAAGGAATCTTACATTTTCATTTTTAAAAACAAACTTTCTGTACAACGAATATAATTTCTCTATACATAAAAAAAAAAATCAATGATATATGTATTTTTTTAATTACACAAATAAGATAAGGATTAAGTAGCATAAAATTTAAGAAAATAAGCAGAAAGAAAAATGAATTGTAGAACACAGCTTGAGATTTTATGAAATGCTTCAAAAGAAAACAAAAAATGAACACTACTTTGAAACAATTTTAACAGTCTAAACATAAAATGTTGTTAATCCTAAGAATTAAAAGTAAAAAGTTCTTAGTACCTACTGCATCAATCATAAAGTTCTTAGTACCTACTGCATCAATCATAAAAAATTATTTGATTATTTATAGAAAAATAGTGAACTTACCAATTATCTTATTGTCCTAATAATAAATTGAAGTGAGGAAAAAATACATTTTCAAAATAAGTTTTTCTAATTGAATGTATTTAACTTAAAACTTATTACTATAAACTGATTTTGTTCTTTCTTAATAGATGAGGGACATCCTTAAACTTTATAATATGTTTGTAAATTTTTCTGCAAAATCACTAATCTTTCATAATTCTTTTATTAAAAGAATATAAATGTCCAACAATTTTGCCTAATCAAATCAAACAGTATAATACTAAAACATATATTATTATTATTATTGCTATTCAGAAATAGTTGTATAAATATTTATAGTGATTAAAAATTGAGAATATAAAATATTGCATCGGCATCATATTTCAATCAATAATACAGAAAAAATTAGGATAAGAGATAATTCATTTTTTTTTTTCTCAAGACTAATATAGCATCTTGTACATTATTTATAAAAGGCTTCCTAAAGCAAAGTAGTGTATAATGGCTTGTTACTCTTGTCTTGATAGTGTATGTGCTAAAATGAGAAATTAATACTTTGTACCCTATAAAATTATTTTAATAACTAATAAAATAGCTTACTCAGAATTTAAAACCAATCACTTTAAAGCAATCTTTAAATAGACAAAGGATTCGAGTATGAATCATTTCAGATTCGATATACATTTATGAACGGCAGGACTAGAATAAAATCCCAATAGAGGGCATCATTCTACTGAAGTTATTGATATTTATGAAACTATGGCTAATGCTGAAATTTCAGCAAAACACGATTTTGTACATACATATCCATTACAATTTTAAAATTTTCTAAGTAAACTCTAATAGATTTATACAATGTCATTCATTAAAAACTTAAAATAAAGAAACAATTGGTAAAACTACCAAATAAAATGTTTAAATTCTCCCTCTCTTTCAAATTATAACACACCCAAACCATAAATCATTCATTGATATTGCTTTTGTATCAAAACTGCAGATCTCTTAATGTGTAAGCAATTACCGTTCTCACATCATATATGAAAATTCACCTTTTCTGTATCATTCATATTATGGCTATTCGATCTGCTTCTAGTTGTTTCCCTTCTAATACACTATTTAATTTAAAATCAATTGCTTGTCCAACTCCTTCTCTTTGTATCACAATAGTAATAAAAATAATCGGTTTAATTTGTTGATTTATATGTCAACCTTGAATGATCTCCGACCAAATATTATTTTGATTTATCATCACAACAAACGACCAATGACCACTTGTTTAATAAGAAATTTTATCACATGGATTATGAGCTAGGCTACTTAGATTGTTACTCTTCAGATAATGCTTGTAATTTAATAAAATGTTTTAAGATATTCATTTCTGTTCACTGGTCTGCCACATAAAACGAAAGAGCACCCAAGAGCAGTCCTCTTTAACTTGAATTGGAATGATGACAATTGTGGATATGGCATTAAAACAATGCCTAGGTTTGCGACAAATTATAACATCACAATATGGCTGTATAACTAAGGCGGATAAAAAATAATTTCCTCCGATAAAAGAGAGAAATTAATGTAACATATAAGTTAGTAGCTAGTAACCCATTATTGTAGATTTTGGTGTTTTGCATATCACTTCAAGGTGCTCAATAGTTTATTATATTAATTTAAGGCTTAGGTTTCTCCTAGCAGTTCGGAATCCTACTATTTTCGATTATAATTAAAATAAATTTTTATGAGCCATAAGAAATATTCCACATAATATTTTAATATATTGATTTCAATACATTTATACACAAATATTTTAGTAAATGAACGTGATAAAAACTATATTTCAAAAATAAATTCAATAAACCAGATAAGCAAGTAGAGAAAAATTCAGTGAGGTAATTTAAATGAAATAAATGTGCAAAATGAAAATGAGCTAGTAAAGTTTAAAATTATATACAAAGTTCAATTAATGAAAGTTGTATGGTTCAATTTGCAACCTTTCTCAATGTCTTGTTAATAATTATGAGATTTTAAACCTATTAAAATATTAACCACTACTTACAATATTTAATACGAAACCTAAACAAAGCCGCTGGTCTATATTTTGTTTATTTGGTGATCTAAAAACTAGGAACTCCAGTGTTTTAAAAAAAATAGACATCCTTTTAATATAATTTCTTCATTTAAATGTTTTTGATCTTAATATTGTTGCAAATCTGTATCTGAAATAGTAAACTAGCAGTTAATCAATTTTTGACAATATTTACTTTAAGCACCATAAAAATTACTTGATAGCTCCTTAAGCAGAATTACTCAGGAAATCAATTGTCTCAGTAAATATGTTGAGTATTACTATGAGTTTAATTAACAGTATAACTTTTCTTTAGAAAATCAGAGAGAAATAATTTTAAATGATTAATACACATTGATTAGAGATTACTATAACTAACTCTTCATTGTCAAGATTCATATAAACTACTTTAATCTATTGCAAACTTTATGATGAAATAATGTCAAGGTGAATAGTAATAAAAAAAAATATATAGTGATCATTTGAGTATTTTCAATAAAGAAACTGATGTATATACCAGCTATATGTATAATGATGTACATATAGCTAAATAAACATTTTTACATGTTTCAATCGTTGATAAAAGACATTAAAGTTATGTACAAATTAATAACTACTAAAACTATTACATACAGACAAATTAATTAGGAAGATATCTAGTGAGATGCGTCATGAAAATTGACGAAAGTCTCAAGCGTTGCTGGGATCTGACCATGGTAAGGGATGTGATACTGGACGACAGCAGTTGCGGCAAGACACTTGAGGCTGCTATATGAAATGAGGCAGATTGTATTCATTGGATTGCCAGCGATGAGCAAGTAAGGGCAGTCCCTTGCCCTATTAGGCTGGTCAAGATGTGCTCCATGTTCCAAAAGCAATTTTACCAACTGAAAAAAAATTTTTTTAATATTTAAAAAAGTAATTCATTTTATTAAAAAAATTAAATTAAATTGGCATAAACATCATTATTTCCATGTTAATAATAAAAATTATGAATTGTGAAGTCTGTAAATAATTGTTTTACAAAACAACATTTACAAGAATTAAAATAATCTATAAATATAAAATTATGTCAAAAGTTTTTAATAGAGCCATAGAAGTGATTTTGCATATAAGTCTGTCAGTAAATAGAAAAATGTTCCAGAATTACTATTTAGATTTTTTGATTAACTATGAATAGACCAAATTATTTAGTTTAGGATTAGAAACATGATCCAAACTCTTTTACTTAGAACTATAAATCAAAGATGACTTATTTCAATCATAATCTTCCAAGTAGCAATATATAAATACACCCTTCAACTATGACTATCAGCTACAAAAATCCTTCCGTAGTAATGAAAACTAATTGTATGTCTTAAATTAATTTAGATTTCTTACTGCATTACTGGCCAGAACTTCCAGAAGACAAGTTATCAATAATTAAGGAAATGAAAGATAGCTTACTATAAATGGCATGATTAAACAGTATGAATGATAAACTTTACTTACTGGACTATAAAAATTGTATGGGTTGGCAGCTACGTGGAGTGGAGTTGATTTTGATTCATTCCTAGCATTTACAGGTGCGCCACATTCCAACAGAAGCTCAATCACAGGCATGCTTGGAAATATTAGCTATAACAACAATCAGTTTAATAGAAAAACATTAAGCACATATGTAATACTTAATAATAGGACTAGCTTGAATATATGAAATATAAATGAGCAGGAAAATTTGTTTCAATTGGACCTTCGAACTGCTCCTATTTATTTGAAATGCAGTTACTTAGAAAAAAAATGGAGTTTAGAGGTGCAATGTTCGTTTGACACATAGGCCCTGTTTCGATTTCCAGCTGATACAGCAACTTATGCACTTTTGTATGACCGAGCGTGTTATAGCATAAATTTTAATATTCTCAACTCGAACAATGCTGGTTGGAAACCGGTCAGAGCGGGTTAAAATTTATTTTGTGGTGGGACTGTGCCTTAATATTCTCTTTTCAGTCCAGCGCCTCTCAGAAACCATCAGGACTTTTCCTCAGTAAGAGTGTAGAGCCAGAGCCGCCACGAAGTGAAGTGGGTCATCTCTACTATTCTATCATCTTTGATAAGGGCACGGGGCACTCTCTGCACCCAGTACAATGCCTTATTTCATCTAGCGCCTTCCCAGACATCATATAATTCTTGCACTTTGGTGGGGAGCTGCTTTTCCTAGCCTGGGACTCATTTGCCTTATGCCCGCACTTGGCACTCAATCTGCATATAAGGCCTTTCTTACATTTAGCTATGATATGACCATATTCCTGACATTTCAGGCAAAGGGGAGCGTCCAAGTAGTCCCTAATGCTTAATGCCCAGAAGCTGCAGAACTTTTCCATCTGCAAGACTGCTGTTCAAACAGACGAATGAATCTCCACTACACAGGGGCGGGATGACCAAGCAGACTAACGCGTGTCTGCATAGAACCGCGAGTGCAACAACCTGATAACCGAAGTTATAAATAAAATAATTGTGAGTGTTCGCGCCCCAGTGCCAAGGGAATCTTTTAACTTGGCATCGATCCCCCGCGGGGAAACCCCCCCCCCTCCCCCCCGTATAGTCTAAAAGGCAAGAACAAAAAAAAAAACAAAAGAACCTCCACAACTCAGGTTTTATTTTGGTTTCCTCTCTCAAGATTAGAAAAACATGGCCTGACCCAATCCTTTCTATTACACTCTTTTCGAGGTCTACTTATTCTGCTGCTCTCAAGTTCTCTCTATCGAAAGTCCTCCAAGTCAGAGGATTTCGAGTCCTCAGGTACTCCACTGATTTCTATCTTTGATCTGTTTGTTCTTGCCTTTAGTCTCTTGTTGTTCAAGGCTAGAATCTCCACTCCCTTAGTATTCACCAGGACAGCAGTGTTCCCCTTGGTGAGTCCTATTACTCGAGCAGTAATCTGTGTATTCTGCAGTTTCTCTTCATAAGGGAGAACCTCTCATATATTTCTCGGGTTCCAGTTTTCTCCTTCACCATTCCTTTGATGCTGTTGGAGAGACACAATTTGTTGTTCTCCTTAAAAAGCATAAATATGTAAGCTTCTGATGCTCTACTATCTCAATCCTCTTCCCTTTCCCCTGTAGTTCAGAGGTAGCACTTAAGTTCTTCTTTTTTCTCCTTTTATTCTTCATCTTCATCTCGCCAAGGTGCATTTTATCATCTTACGACTCATCAAGGGATGAGATTGGATTTCGATATTTCACCTTGGAAAGTCCTGTTTAAGGTTCAAACTCTTCTTGGCGATTACTTTTCCTTCCGGTTTCACTGTTTACTCTGGCTTTAGGGTAAGCCGAGGTCACTTTCCGTTTGATATAGCCAAGGAGTTCTTCGTTCTGCAATACTGCTCTGACGATTTCCATTGGCTTCATTTCCCAGTTAACTTTTTCTCTTCTGGGTGCCTCTGTCTTCTCCAACTGGCATTTGGGCAATGCGGAATGTGACATAATCCACCATTGACTCTATGGACTTGACCAATCTTCAAAGATTAGCGGGTTTATTTTTCCTCTTTCAATCCCATCCTCGAGTTCCTCCACCAGTGCTTTAACTCAAACCCTCTTTTAGTCACCTCATTGATAACTACCATTGACTCACAGTCTTCCTCTTCTTATGGGTTTCTTCTCTGGGACCTTTCGTCCTCTGAAGAGCTCTTCAGTAGTTAAAGTACCTGGTAGGGTGAGACTTCTCCGACTGCCATTTAAGATATTATTTATCTTTATCTCTCTCACTGTACGACAATGCTAATACTTTGTCATCCATCCCCTATTTCCAAACTTACAATTTTTGTTACCTGTATAGAGTAAGATTCAAGATTTGAACCACTGCTACTTCCTTGAACTTCTAGGCTTATCAACTGGGTCTACTCCATGCCCTCCCACCTCGTTGGGACTATGCGATAGCTTTCTGCAATAATTTCCTTCTGTTATCTGTAGAAGAGCTCAAAATCTCAAACCTCAAAAGTCATTTGGCTGAGGATCTTCAGATTTCGTATGGGCACCTCTGTTACTGTTTTCCTGCAGTATTCGTCATTGATACTCTGCTTCTCGAGTACTTCCGTGTCACCTAACATCTCTGAGCTATTTTCTGCCTCGTGGCAGCCATGTGGTCTTATAACCTATGCTATTGTTTGTAACCATGCGTTCACCTAATCTCTAAGATTTCTGGCGGCCACATGCTCTGCTAACCTGTACTCTGCGTGGCCACCATATATTTCTTTATTTTTTAACCTATCAATTATTTTGTCATCTCTTGCCTGCTGTTCTAACCTCTAAAAACAGCCCCCACGTGCTCAACTAATCTTAGTTTCTCATAGCCACTACTTTTCCTATTATCTGGCAATATCTCTCTGATCTCTTCGGTTCTAATTGATCCGAATTTAAGGTAGACACTCCCAAACACTTAGATCACACTCTATACACAGCCGACTTTGCTTATAACTGTTTTTACCTGGGTCGGAACTGAGCTTAGCCACACAAGTCCTACCCGGCCGGTGGCCAGTTGTCAACTCCAACAAATGAAGTCTATTATCAGATTTGCAACACCAATGTAGAGAAGTGAGTAAACAAGTTAAAGTCCATATTTTATAAGCATTGTTTCTCCCTACTCTGATATATAGAAATGATATTTGGGCAGCAAATAACAAAAGTATCAAATAAATTACCGCAGTTGAGATGAAATAACTGAGCAGAGTAACAGGTAAAATGAGAACAGATTATGTAAGGAACGAAAGGATAGGAGAGGACTTCAGGATCCCTGCATTAAAAGATACCCTACACATATTTTATTTAGTAGTTTTATTTAGTAAAAACACAATTATATAATTTATATAAAATATAAACAATCTATAAAATTGGTTCTCAGAAATAATTTACCATTAATTACTTACTAAAATGATAAATAGTTGATTAAACAAAACAAACCTGATTGTCATCAGTGAAGTAACTACTCTTAATGGTGTTCAGTCTAGAGACACAAAGGTGGAGAAGAGTATCACCAGTGCAAGCCGAGTGAGGATTTGCTCTGACCAACGCTCTGACACTCTCTCGTACGGTCTCTTTCTGTTCTCCTGTTTTTGCTGTTTCTACCAGCAGGTATATAAGATGCGTCAAACACTTCAATATTCTATCAAAACTCTCCTGCTGCCTCTTATATACAGGTCGAATCTGTTGGTGACAGTAAATTTCTTTAGAGCTATTTTAATGAACTTAAAAATAAAAGTATAAAAATCCAAAAACTGAGAGGAGATAATTATAAGAACTAAGGAAACTGGAGGGAAAACAAAAATGATTTATGAAACTTATTCATGACTCATAATAAGTTATGGAGCAGTTACTGTATTAAGTTTATATCAGTATCATTTTCATTGAAAAAAGGATTTATAGTTAAAAATTTTCAATTTAATATTGAATTTTGTTTTAGCCAACTAATTTCTCTGAGATGAGTTGATTCAGAAAAGTTTCTTAGTTTATCAAGTGTTTACTCTTGTTTTGGATATACATAATTAATTGGATATATATATAATAACCGAACAAGACCTGTCTCTATAAAAGGATGCAAAGCATCATTATTTATTAATGGTCATCATAAATCAAAATTCAGTATTACTAAAATTACATTACAAGATAATGAATGAAATCATTTTGCAGAAACCAATATCTCATAATTGATAAAATAATATTTAATAAAAATGTTTCCATAGTTAGTTCCTCATCTATATAAATAAAATAAAGGTTTTGTTTGCACATTGAATAGAATCAACCCGTTTTATGATATCATTCCATTTCATACATTGCAGACACCAAATTCACTTTTTAAAAAATTTTTGTCTGTCTGTATGTCCTCAATGCAACGAAATATTGTCAGGGGTAGACTTTTGAAAATTTGACATTATATTAAGGTTTGCTTGACTTAAAACATAGGCTTTAAATGAAAACAAAATATTGAGTAGAACCAAAGTTATGAATTCTTTAGTACTTTGTCTAGAGATCCCAGTTAGGCAGTTACTTACTTCGATTCCCATCCCAACCTACTCTATCGCGAGCCACATTTAAAAGTTGTACTACTCAACTGGTGGAAAAAATTATCACAACTGAATGGGAAAAATCCGGAATACCGAACATCTGTAACACGTTGTCGCATAAAACGGGTAAAACACACTAATTTTTCAGCTTTGCCAGTCTTCCCGTTCAAGGTGTCATTCGATTCAACTTCCGAGCCTCACAAATACTGTTGTATACATTTTAAGGATTAACCAAATGAATTAGCAGGAAATCGGAAAAAAAACTCCCATAAATTTCAGATCACGTTCTAATTTTACACGGATGTAGATGACTCAATGTCCAATGTTATTTTGCCAGAGATAAACTCAGCAGAATTTAAAGAAGTGGAGAGACTACAACTCTTTTTGATTAATTAATCGACTCCACAATCTCTTCGCTTCATCATAAATGAAAATTAAACACTTAACAAATTTTAATGGATCGGTGGTGGTCGGTTTAGTTGTGGGGTACCAAAACAAATAGCCGAATAACAAAGTTTTTATGACTACTGTGAAACCTTGAATTCCATAAGCCCCGCCATAAAAAAATTACAAAACAATCCCCCTCCCTCCTCCCAACCCAATTTTATAAAATTAAATTTGGACTCTCTCCCACATAATATAAAATCCATCACAAAAAAAGATTCTCAAATTTTAACTATACACCCGTCAACCACAGGGACATCAGCTAGTAATCAATAAACAGGATTCAAATAAATTTTAATACATTAAATTCAAGACTTTTTTTAGCAACATAATCATTTTTCTTAAAAATTAGTTGGGGTTTCATTCTGTGTGAGTTAATATTAGCAAGGCAAACAATTAAACATAATTATAGCGATGACAACATTGCCAAAAATATGACAAATAAAATTTCAACATTATTAAAAGCATTTTTCACAATCCCTTTAAAACAACAATCACTTAAAGAAGAAGTAATAATTAAATTTATACTGTAATAATATAGAGTCTTTGCTCTACTGTATTTAGAAAAACTATTAGATACTTTCCTGTTTTTTTATTATTACATTGCTCTAACACTTAGCATATTTAGCATAAACCAATACAAACATAGATAAATGTTCATGTATGGAATCAAAATTCAAAATGGCCATCAAAACAATCATATTACTTTTAACACCATCTATTTTTTGCTGTTAATTTTCAATTACAGCTTTAAACTTACTAAGATACTGCAAACCTAACTAATGGTAGTGTTAATATTAAATAAAATACAGTCAAAAAGAAGAAATTTATTTGTATGTATGCCGATATGTTGGCGCAAGTATAATTGTTGCTATAGAAGGATAAAAGTGTATAAATGTTGCATACTGTATTCCATTGAATGAATAGCAATAAATATTTTTGGATTATTATAGACAATAATGAACCTTTGGAATTGATGAGGAAACAACATCTCGAACTTCAAGATTTTATGTTTCAAGATGAATTTCATCTGTAAATTGAATTTTTAAAAATTAACCAATTTTTTTTTTTAGATTTAATAAGAAATTTACAGGTTACCCTTTTAACTTGAGTTCCTAGGAACTCAATATTACCATCCGCCATTTCATTTCAAAACGGCAGCAGAAAAACCTATGTTTCTAAAGACAGTTTCTCCAAATTGGCTATAGCACAATTTTGATGAAACTTGACATAGGTCTTCTTCTTGAAGCTATATATATATATATATATATATATATATATATATATATATATATATATATATATATAGCTAAAACATATCTTCTCAAAGAGTCTGGAAAAAGTTGCTATGAATGAAAATTAAAATTAATAATAAAAAATATGAATTGGAGTTAGTCATTCTGTCAACTGAAGAAAGGCTCACATGTGTATTTTGATATACTCTGTTAGAATTAAAACCCCATAATATAGTACTGTAATAAATATATTTGAATGTATTTGTTGTTTGATTGAATATTTAATAGTTGACCGTTGCATTATAAAGGAAGGAGATGGTCCGGGGTTGCGGTCATAAAAAGGCTAAATAGTGGTAAAACTATTTTATTGAAAGCCAGCTTTATTTACAGCTTGGCTTTCAATAAAATAGTTTTACCACTATTTAGCCTTTTTATGACCGCAACCCCGGACCATCTCCTTCCTTTATTTCTTGTTTGCAGTGTGCTGAGTTAAATTACAGCTGTAATTGAAAATTAACAGCAAAATAGGTTTTGTTAAAAGTGATAGCTTGCCGTTTTGTTGTCCACTTTGGATTTTAGTGCCATGAGAATTTTCAAAAAATTCAGAGGGCTCCTAGGCAAACATTAATTAAAGTATCGTAAGGTACATTCACACTAAATTTGGTGCTTTTATCCGTGATGTAACAGTAACCTTAAAATTTAGGCCAGCTGACTAAATTCATAAATATAACATGTACACATTTGATATAATTTATCGTCATATACCATCATGTCTTTTTTTTTAATTTAAAAAAAAATTAAATACTAATAGATCATATAACATTATAAGAAAAAAAGTTGCAGTGTACTGACTGACGAGATGTGTGCTTACATCGAAGGTAGATTGGTCAATGATTTACGGAATCGCTAGCAGGAAGAGTGCACTCAGAGCAAACTATTTATGAGACTTGAAATATAAATTCATTATTTCTTTTTATATACATTTTTTATGAACAATTAATGTATATGTTTTAAATACAAACATTGATGTATTATTATGGGATAAAAATGAAAGGAGATTGATTAGACTCAGAGATTGCAGGACCTAATTAAAGGAATTCTAATTAGCGTTCCTTCTCACTTACTTTTTGTCATGAGTATAGAGTAAATTAAGGATCGTCTGGTGGACACTTCTTTCCCAGCCAAGATACGTTATCAATACGATCATAAAAAGTGCGAGGTACCCTATACCTAGCAATGTCTAAAGGTGGGTTCCTTCTTTGCTCAAGCTGTGGGTGTTATGTAATTGGCTTCTCTATTATTCTAGACTCATCCTGACTAAGCCCTTTCCACATTTAAAGCGAAAAGAGAGAAAGTAGTAAAAGAAAGAGATAGATTATAGTAGTAAGAATTAATAAAGGACCAAACCCTTACATCAAGTAATTGTCTGCAGTATGATATCTTGTTCGCTAAGAGATTGAATGTTGCATGAACATCTTCAAACTTGGGGTCTTCATCAGCTCTTATGCCTCCATTCATCATAATATCGAGACTTTTCAGATTCAAGTCAACAAACAGTCGCACTAATGCCTGAGCAGTGAAGCAAGTATCACTGTATAAGATCTGAAGAACAAAAAATAATTAATAAAATGTAAGCATATGAGGAGGAACTTAGGCATGGTGTCTAACATTTGTTTTATTTGAAATTCTAGACTTTTTCAATATATATTTTTTTTTTTTTTTGATAATTAACATTAGTAACATTTTTCTAAGCATGCAATAATAGACTTATGAAAATAAATATTTAGACATAACTTATTAAACAACTGGACAAATTGATGTTATTCAAATTACAAGAACAATGGTATTTTTTATTTTTTTAACTTATATACCGCAGTTGAATGAATGCAGTAAATTTTATTTATATCCATATTTACAAAGAAAAACACAATCAAATAAATAAATAAATTTATAAAAAAGCTTGGGGAGACTCATCAGCTTATTATACAATATATAGAATGCATAGTACGAGAAAGTGTTGCGATACTGAAAAATTTTGAATTTGCAACAGAAATACGTGTCATAAGGTCCTCTGAGTCCAAATAATAAGTCTTAGAAATAGTCAGTGTTTGTGAGCATGTATAAATATGGAGTCAAGCTCAGGGGTATCCAAACTATTGCCTGTAGGACAGGCCTAGCTTTTTTTCTGGATTGATGATTTTATGTCAATGTATGAATTCCAATGTTTTTAAAGACTGATTTATCGGTATTTTATGCCATCACAAGGCTGCGGGATTTAGTAGAAATTTCAATGTAGCCCAATAGCCAAACCTTTATTAACCTCCAGTCTAATTAAAATATAATAAGTTGTAAGAAACTGATATGATATATTTAAGATAAGTAAATGCCTGGAGTGGAAGAATACTTTAGCAAGAGTAATGGTTCTTCGAGGATTGTAGAGCCCAGCAATGAATGAATGAATGAATGAAATGTTACAGAAACTTGTACTAAAATTGATTTATTGGAAGTTGCATTTCATACAATTGATTTTACACATTTTTACTCTTTCCTGAAAACTGATGTAACGATTTTGGTAAAACTTGTTACATCAATGTAAAATTAAATTTAAAATCATGTAGATCTTATTTTCATTGAAATAGACTGAGAGGGCTTTAATGGTGAATATACAAGATACCTCTAAAGTACCATTTGATTCCATATGGTTTATTGAAAATAATTAACCGTCTCTCGTGGTTATAAGTAACAGGAATTAGCTAAATATAAACTATAAAATAATTTGATAATTAACAATAGAATAATAAAGGAAAAACATATACTCAGATTAAAAACATATTCCTGCTGGAAATTAGAGTAGAAATATATATTTTTTTTTTTTTTTTTTTTTTAGCTTTAATGTTTTATTCACACCTGTCATAATGCTAATGACAACCAGTGAATGTGAGATCGATTGATAGAAATATATATGAATAATATTTAATTAAAAAGTTAAAGATTTTAGAGAAAAAAAAAATCTAATATTGAAAGACTTATAAGGTTATGGAGAGTGCTGAAAATATTGTGATTAATAATTTGAAAACTAATATTGTTTAACGAAAACTGAATGTTTCCATAAAAAACATGAACAATTATGAAGACTTTTACAATTATTTTTAAATTTGACGAACCAAAAATGGTTTAAAAACTATTTTATCATACTTTTGTCAGAAATAATGTGAAAAAGTAAATCACACTATAAATATTTTATGAGGTTCTGACTAGTTAAAAAACAAAAACAAATGATAACAGTGTTTGATAAAATTAGCCTAAATAATAGATTTGACTAATTAAATATAAACAGAATGGCATTAAGCAGAAGGGAATCCATTCACAAAATATGCAAAAATTAGTTAGGGATGGTTTTGGATGGCATAAAGGCTCTTGATATGTCCTGCCGAAGCGATATGCTTAGTCTGTATCACTGCAGATTATCATGCTCTGTGTGAGTGCTATAATGTAATAGAGAATAATACGCTCTCTCTCATATCGGAATATTATATTGTTGAGACATATCGCAGTCTGAGTATAGGAGCCTTAAACTCTACAATTTTCAACAAAAACGAATAATTTCTTGGTCTAGTTATTTTTAATACAAAATTGATGTTGAAAACAAATATTGGAAACAGAATTATTTTCTTTATTAAAAAAAAAAGAACCGAAACGCAATTGAGTTATTTTTTGAACATTATAATGATATATTAGTGATATGTTAGGCTGGGTAAAATGTAGAAAAATTAGGTCAGTGACAATAAATAAAATAAATTTATTTGAAAGATCATCTAATTTGGGCTTGAGTTTACTCAAAACATGTGTAATGCAGATTGGTTCCCTTCTGCTAAATGCTATGCAACTAGCTTCTAAATGTGAGCAGTAATTAAAAAAGTGTGGTTATGTTCTGAAAAAAAAAAATAAATAAATTTTATAAAAGGCATAATCATCAAACTGGCATGTAATTGATAACTTAAATTTGGAGGAATTACTTACTGAATCTTTTTCTACTCTGATCTCTAAAGCCCTTCGCCAAAGGTCAATGCATTTTTGATATCGCAAATCATCGGCATAAGCAGCACCCCTATACATCAATCTGAACAAGGTATCTTTATGATAAGGGCCGAGAACCCTTTCACAAACTAACAGACTCTGTATCCTCATGGCATCTAGATCAAGTGCAATGGTTCTCAATTCTTCTGAAGTCGTAAATTCGGTAGCATTTCCAAATGCAGACTTGGGTTCCAAGGCAGGCCTCTTCGGAAGAGGTTTTCCATCAATACCATGCTGCATTCTAATCTTAACTGCAGTTTCCCAGTGCGAAAGTGCAGTCTTTTAAACAATACAACAATATTTTAAAATTTCATAAACATACAGCTGACATAAAAAATATATCATTAATCTATAAATATCCTGCAAAAAGGTGGCTATTGTTTAGCAATGTCTGAAAAACGTTTCAATTAGATGTTCAGGGAGGCTATAACAGAGAACAGATCTAACAATTGAAATCAACAGGATAAGTTGAATACAGTTACCCTACTCCACCAGAGTCATTCCAAGAAATAAGGTTGTTCTGACAGAACAATATTTAAATATACCAATATAATTTAATCTAAACACTATAAACAAGGTGCATGCCACATCAAATAGAGCTAAAATAAATAAAAGAAGAGGAATACCTATTGATGATTTATTTATTTATTTTTAATTTTAAGTGTAATTATTCGTTTTATTGTGGAATTTTGGAAATACAATAATTTCTCAACATTCGCGGGTTTGTTATCCACAAATTTTATTCACCAGCGAATATTAAATGAGGAAGAGTTCCACACTTTCAAATTGAGAATTTGATGATTCGTGATTAAATAAAAAATCCCAGTACATATTGAACATGCAAATCCCTACTGTTAGTGAAAAGGTTCACGTGTAAATATTGGTTATTTTACAGGCGATTATAAAAACTAAATATTTCTTTATGATTAATTAGTATAATTTCATATTTTATTTTCCTCTGTTATATTACATAGTAGCACACTACCTATATTATTTGCAGATTACAAAATGTCATCTTTAACAAAAATAGGATATAAACGATAAAATTTTATAAACGATCTTTTACACTAACAGTAGCGTTCTATATTTAATATGGCATGTTTTCACTCAAAAAATGGATGGAACAAAAAATTTTGTTTGTTCGTAGTTAAGGAGACCAATACTTTTCTTCAGTCAGAACACATCTAATTAAGCTGGAATACAAAAAATATGCATGAAGTTCACACAACTTTGATATTAAAGGAAGAAATTAAGACCACAACGAGCTGATTTTACTTCAATAGAAATAAACACAATCACAAATAAGATTTTTTTTGTTTACTAAATGTCATGCCAATAACATTTGAAATCGACCGACCAAACAATACAGTACAAATTAACTTTTTGAATAAAACCTAAAATTGTATAACCCCACAAAAATATTGTCTTAACCTAGCTCCCACTCCAAATGATCAATGCCTTCCACATTTCACAGCCTTTATATTGTTAACAATTATTTATATTAATTTTAATTATTGAATGGAATTCAACGAAATTGATACTAGGTAATTCTCCAAATTTCTTCCAAGTCTGGGTCAAATCGAACATGGAGTTTTTAAATTATGGGCGTGTCAAATAATACATTTCGTGATCTGAAGGTGAAAGTATTTTTTTATTTGATATGGATAGAATTTGATGAAATTCATACGTACTTGATTATCTGTTTACCAATGCCTAACATCGCTTCAAATTTGAGCCAACTCGAACGTGTGGTTTTAAAGATATAGACGTATCAAGAAAAACATGTTTGCTCATATATCTGAGAAAGTAGTGGACAAAATTTAATAAAATTGATGCTACATAAATAACAATAACTTTACTGCTCAAAAGTACAAAACTTTATAGCAAGGAATAACATAATACAAACAAACATAATATAACGAAATACAATCAATATAAGTACTAATACAATACAAATAATAATACAATGGAACAGAACAATACAGTGAATCAAATTTTTCGCATTTTGAAACTTCCTTAGAGTTCTTCTTCAATCATTCCTTCTCAGCCTAATAATAAGTTTCGTAATTTAAGACAAGAGAAATGTTGATACAGTTTATTGAAATTTATTCTGTTTTCTACTCTTAAAGTGGCTTCCACACAATTTATGGATATCTCTGCAGTACCTTTAACTTTTCTTCTAATGCCATTGAAGATAGGGCAATTGCAAAAGAGATGGAAAATTGCGTCTTTAACTTTTTTGCACAATGGGCAGTTCTCTTCTGGCTGGAAATTGATGACTTTTTTATCAAAATGGATTCTCGATGCATTCCTTTGTCCCATCAGCTCCTGAGCTACCAACCTGATTTTAGCTATTGGCATCTTCATGTTTAAATAAGTTTCAATACCATCTAAAGAGCTTTTATTTATATATATATATATATGTATATGTATATGTATATGTATATGTATATATATATATATATATATATATATATATATTATATATATATATATATATATATATATATATATATATATATATATATATGTATATGTATATGTATATGTATATATATATGTATATATATATATATATATATATATATATATATATATATTTAAACTTAACTATTTATTGGGAATAAGATCATTTAATTAATGACCTTATTCCCAATGAATAGTTAAGTTTAAATTTAATACTCAAAGGTCGATTAAGGAAAAGTTGTAAATATATATATATATCTGTAAATTAGGCTGAATGAGTTGTTCAGGGAGAACTCTATATCATTACTTAGCCAATAGTTCTTAGCTTTCTTAATAATTTCATTCAACTCTTCCTTTGATAGGATGAATTGGTTTTCCACATCCCAATGTGTCTTGAGTGTTTTGAAACCCAGTTACACAGTTAAAAATTATTGAATACTTAATAGTTGACTGTTGTATTATTAAGGAAGGAGATAGTCCTTTGGGAGTGGAAACGTTGGCTTTTAATAAAATAGTTTAGCCACTAAAAATTTCAATGCTTCTAGCTTCCATTGCAATAAAAAAGTCAGAATATCGGCTATATAGAGGAGAAACAGTAGCGGGCTCAAAATATCACCCTTAAGGACCCCTTCATTGATAGAAATATCTTTTGATGAATCATTGCCATTGGTAATGATAATGACGCATTATTGCATATATTCATAAGTTTTGGGATTTTTCCTCTTAAACCTATATCATAGAGCCTTTGCCACAGCTGCTCATGTTTCACTTAGTCGAAGGCTCTCTTAAAATCAATAAAATGAGCTATTAATTTCCTTTTTTTTTGAGCCAGAAAACTAGATTAACGAGTGATGATAAGATAAAAACATTATCCCTACTTCCCTTGTTTTTCCTAAATCCCATTTGTATACTTGGCAGAAGTTCTTCTCTTCAATCCAGTTTATGAGTTTATTATAAAATATAGAGGTGAAAATTTTTAAGATATTATTTGACATGGAGATTCCTCAATACTTTTCAGGATCACCTGTCAATCCTTTTTTGTGGAGCAGTCATTTTTATTTTTGTCAAACTGTGAGGGATATGCCCTTCTGACTATATTTTGTTATAAAGCTTTAATAAGGTATTTTTTCATTTTTCATTCCAATTCATTCATTTTTTCATACGAGAGTCCATTCTTGTTTTAAGAGGCATAGTTCTTTAAAATAAGATAAATTTTAACATTGCATTATTGGTAGATTTTTTTATTCTTTAACTTCCCAAGAAACTCCCTCCTAAAGGCCCATTACTAAGTCATTGGAATCATGTTTTATAAAAATAATTTCCATTCTAAAAAGAAAAATTTAAATATAAAACATCTAAAAAAATATCATAAAGTTTATTAATTCATCAACTAATGAGGGCTGGAACTAGGAATTTTGCCAGAAGAGGCAAACTTAATTTTGCCGCCTCCACAATAAAAGTTTTTTAGGCAATGTATTTCGAAATAAATATCATAATTAGGTAAAATAAACTCTTGCAACTGAATGAATTCAGGTTAAAAGAACCAAAAAGCAGAAATAAATACTTTTTACTTGACCAAAAAAAGTTTTTAAAATTGACCATTCTCTAAATTCTGCCACCCAGAGAGATTACATCCTTTGTCCCTTCATATAGTCCAAGACTCAAGTCAAAATTGTGTGACTTATTTGAAAAAAACTTTTCATCATACATCATCATGAGGTTTACCCTCAGCATTCAATTTACAATAACCTGCAAGCTCAAAGCGGGAGCATTTTAAAATACCCATTGAAAGGGAGAACCCCAATGGACCAAAATTGCATAATTGGAGGATTTGTAGTAAGCCATTATGAAACTGCTGGCGTAGGGAAGTGGCGGACAGCAGTTCATAGATCCCATTGCCCAGTCTTAGTACCACAGATAGCCACTGGTCCTCCAGGTTAGGAGAACAGAACCATGACACTCACCTGCATATACACTAATCACAGCACACTACACTCACCCACACACTACAGACAAAGGTCAGTACTCAACCTAGGATTATCTTTCTTAAGCAGCCATCCCAAATGGGAGAGGGAGTCATGGAGCTCTGAGGAGGAAGCACCTCCACCTGACTCGGGGCAGCTATCTGATAGCCAGCTCTCTCTAAATAATCTTATCAACCTAAAACAGCATCGGAATAGATCAGTCTCTCAAGGAAATGACCATGTGCCCCCAATGGTAGGAACATAAACATAGGATATTGGAACACCTTATCCTTACATCGACCTGGAGCACTGAAACTGCTTCTAGATCAAATAAGCTTTTACAAACTCGACATAGTTACCGTCCAGGAAATCTGCATTAGGCAGAAGAAGAACCATACCATATTTTACATGTAAGATTACAATTACAATTACAGTTACCGTGAGGGTACCCACGAGTTTGATGTGGGATTTGTTTTAGAGGTAAATTCAGACAGTTGGTGATTGGAAGGAAGCCTGTGAGTCCCAGAATACTGGGGAGGTTCTACAATTACAGTATAATCTTATGCACGCTCCAAGGGAAGTTGCTGATGAAGAAGAAAAGGACAGGTTCTATGATTCTCTTGAATGAGTCCTCGACGAATGCCCAAGCTACAATGCCAAGATAATAGCTGGAGACCTCAATGCTAAGATCAGGAAGAAGGAAATCTATCACCCAGTAACCAAGATTAAGGAAGCATTGAAAAAAAAAGAATTCTTCTCTCTTTTGTTTCCTGGGACTGATTATTAATTCCTATTTTTAGCATGTGCATGTGCTCTGATATCCTATATCTTCACGTTTACATGTGGCATACCAAATTATTGTATATAGAATAAGTATCTTTTTTGTTATTTCTATTATCTTTAAATCTAAAGTATCTTCCTATTTATCTTTAAATTTAGTAATTTAGTAATTATGTTTAAATTTTCTCTTTTTCCTTTTATTTCATTTCTTTTGCTTGTACACAGTAATAATTCTGTAAATATTTCTTTCTGTAAATAGATCTCCTAACTTGAAATACCTATTCTTTGCTGCTATAAGAAAAATCGAACCTAATCCCTTCTCACCTGAACTAGCGTGGCAGCATAAATGTTTTATTATGGGCAATAATGGGTAAGTACCTTATATTTTCTTTATTTACCTCTTTAGATATGAAAGGCTAGTAAAGCCTGGCGCCCAACAAGTAAACATTCCAATAAAAAATTATACTTATTTTATTATCTTTTTATTTATCCTTTTTTTTTTTTTTTTTTTTTTTTTTTTTGGCCATACTATACTGTAGGACATCACAGTCTTCACAAGGAAACTAACCAAAATGGCCAACACCTCGCCAAATTCGCCGCATCCAAGGGTATGGATATTGGAGGTAATCTCTTACTGCACAGGAGAATACAAAAGTGAATATAGACATCACCAGACAGACAAGAAAACTGTCAATAAAATTGACCACTTTCTATTGGGAGCCACACATAGATCCAGCATGCTAGATGTAAGAACCTATCGTGGAGCGAACGTGGATCAGAATCCAGAAGTGGTTAAACCCACTATTTCAGCATTGCTCACCTGACACCCAAGATAAAAAGAGATCATTGGCCTATAGGACAAAGAGGGAAGAGGTTTAACCTGGATAAACCTTGGACAGGTTATATGGAACAGCTGGATGAAGACCTTCGCCCTTAAATAATTAATGGTGAGGCTAACCTTAGGTAGAAAGTCTGTGGTCAGGCAATGGAGAAGAACACAGAAGAGCTCCCAGGTTGGCAGAATGAAAAAACCCAATCCCAGTGGTTTGATGAGGAATGGGAAGGTGCTACAAACCAGAAGAACCAAGCATATAAAGTCATAGTTGTTAATAAAGTCACAAGAACCATTGAGGAATATTGATTGAGGAGATGCAAAGAGAAACATTTGCATCACAGAGAGAAGAGGCAGTGGGAGCAAGAGGAGCTGGAGAAAACAGAAACATTTTTAGGGATAAGGAATTCCAAGACTTTTATAGGAAAATAAACAGGAGCTGAAAATCCTACTCTAATGGCTCTTACACCTGCAATGACGATGAGAACTTTCTTTCTGACAAGCAGACAGTCCTGTACCAGTGGAGGCATCACTCGACAATCACTAGCAAGCTCATAAGCCTTGAGAGGCTTACAACGAACAACATTAACTGCATGGTTCAAATTAGTGAAGGACGGTTGAAAGAATTTCCCTCAGGAAAAGGATTATGCCAGAAAGACCCCTTAGCCTCAGCTTATTGGTAACTCAAGACAACATCTCTGAATAAGAGATCTAGCATAGGATCATAGTAGCAAATCAATGCCATTTTTCTACGGCAAGGCAGTTCTAGCCTTTTCTCAAGAATATCAAAGTTACGTCTTTATAGAATGGTAGTGTGTCCAGTCTTGCTGTATGGTATTGAGACTTTGACTACTTTCCGGGTTTGTGAACAGAAACTACTAGTCTTTGAAAGAATAATCCTCAGACATATTTATGTCTGTGTTTATGGTGCTGTTCTCATCGGAGGAAATTGGAAAATGAGGAAGAAACAGGAGCTGTACACCATGTTTAAGGAGATCGATATAATTCGAGTGATGAAGATTGCAAGACTGAGATGGGCAGGATGGATGGGTAGTGAAGATCCACCAAGACAACTACTGATGGAACAACTCCATGGTACTAGGAGAAGAGGAAGACCAAAGCTGTGGATGGTGTTACTGCTGATGCAACAAATATACTGAGGCTTCAGCATTGGATGGCGACTGCAATGGACCGAGATAATTGGCGGAAGCTGCTGGAGGAGAACAGGATTCGACACCTTATTGAAAAGCCATGCTGATGATGATAGTGAAACTGTATACCACCTAGATGATAAAAACATTGTCTTCTAAAGTTGGGAAGAGCACATCAGTTGACAAAATTCAATATCTAAGTTTTTTCACTAATAGTGCTTTTTTTGTGAATATTAAGGAAATGGCTATTCCTACAAAATAATTATCATAAACTATATTTTAGTGCATTCTAGCAGCTTCAATTTGAGACATGATAGAGCTATTCATGTTTAATAGTTCCAGAGAAACATTATTAAAAAACATGTAAATTCCGAGGTCTTAAGTAAAAGAAATGTTCTGCACAACACCTAGTAGAGCATTCTGTAGATCAGGTCCTTTAAACTCCACTATAATGATATTACCTTCTCTTAAATATTTCCTCATACAACATTAGTTGTCCTTTCTCATCCTTCATGTTACTAACTGGCTTATTTGTCTTTCTTTAAATTGTTTTTATCTTTTACACAAGAGTTAGATGTTTTGTTATAATTAATTAGCGGGCTTCTACCAAACTCTTTCTACCAAAATTTTTACCACTTTAACACACAATATGGCTTCCTTTCTTTACCTAGCTGAGAGCTTTCAGTTAGATTCACCTCAAATCTCTACAATAATCATTTCAGGCTGCCTTCTCCTCATCTATCATATCTTTTAATGAAGGAAACAACAATGAAATAATAATCTGAATAGATAAACAAATAAAAAAAACATGAGCAACAGTGAACAAAAATTATGTTTTTTTTTAGTTTTCATTCCCGAAAACACTGGCAGCATAGGAATCAATTGACATCAAAGCATAGGAATATACAACGATATCGAAATAATTTTTTTAAATAAATAATACAATGATTCTTAATTCCCAAAAAATAAAATGTATACATACCATTCTATTATCAAGTAAAAATTTATTACCATTATCAATTATCATGACACAAAAATTGATGTTCTAAAAGTATTTTTTCAACAGACAAGCAAGATTAGTTAGAGTTAAAATTACAAACTGTTTGATCACTAACACTTGATAAGAATTGATGATTAAACAGGGTACTAGAAAAAATGGAGCGGTTTGGTTAATAATCACACCCGACAATGGGCTGATACTAAACCATAAGAATTTCGGAAGTAACAACAGTTATAAGTACATAAAGAAACATTTATTATAATATAAATATTAAACTAAGGAGTAATTTTTACAGACCTGTGTATCAACATGTTCGTCGAGGAATGTAGAACCAATTAATTCGTGAGCATCTGCCAACCTTTCAGGATCATAACTAATTCTTTCAATTAAATACTGAAATATCTGAGCTGCTCCCTTCAGACATGCTGTTTGTAATGCATCATCATTGTACCTACTGCGAGCATAAGGGTCTGCTCCATTGTCCAATAATAACTTTGTTGTTTCAAATCTATGTTCTTGTATAGCATAGTGAAGAGCTGTTTTATTCTGTATATCCCTCGCGTTCACTTTAGCACCATGTTGTAAAAGATATAGACATAATTGAACACTCTGTACAGAATTTATTAAACAAGTCCCACCATTGTAGTTAGCCTTAAGTATATCGGCACCACAATCAACCAAATAGGCAACAATGTCTAGATGCGTCATAAAACAAGCACTTCTAACGGGAGTTGAACCTGAGTCAGAAACAGCGTTCACATCTGCTCCATAATGAACTAAGCAGCGGATGACAGGTAATTTTCCAGAAACAGCTGCACACCACAAGGGAGTTACATTATGAACAGATCTGTCATCTGGGACTTCATACAGACCCCGCTGTTCAATATCTGCATCACAACTAGTAATTAGGTACTCCACAATCTCCACATGCCCCCTTTTACATGCAATGAACAGTGGGGCACATCCATCCTTAACTCTACAAGCAATTTCTTTCCTATCTGCCCTAGAATATCTTTCTAGTTTGGCTCTTAGATTATAGGTCAGCCTAGCTCCGGGTGCGGCAGATTTTACTTCCGTTATAAGTTCTGCAAACAGCACGTCTTTATGATGAGACAAATCAATTTTGCCAGTAAACCACATGTCTCTGACAAACGAACAGAAAAGTCCAACACACAAAGGAGCTTCGGTGATTTTCAGTGTAGCAAATGGTTAAAATAATACGAGTGGTTTTTCACAGTGGTAGAGCAGCCTCGGCCACTGCATGACAGTTTTAACACAAACGAAACTACATTAAGTGAAGTGTACATCAAACAAAGTGAAGAATAACAACCCTTCAAGTGCACCAGCCATTTTAGTGACAGCTGATTCTGTGACGTCATGGCCTACTGGTGTTCCCGGTTCTATTAAAATCAGAATCAATAGTAGGTAGGTGCTTTCAGCTGTATGTCCGTGACCTAGGAATGTTGTTTTACTTCTGTTGTCATTACTAGACAGGCCTTGAGTAATTTATTTAGTGTCAATCTCTAAATAGACAGCTAACAATAACGGCTTTCTGACTCATCTACTAGACTATCTCATTGTATACCAATAGTAAACGATACCCACCGCTGAACGTCACTTTTTCTTAACGAAATTATCATATAGAGTTGTATAAGAAATATGTATATTTCAAAGAAACATAGTTCCTGTTCGTATATATCTGATGAGATAATCTGAAACTGGAAGGAATTGAACAGAAGGGAACCAATATACATTTACAAACGGCTGTTGCATTGCTTAGTTGATGAACATTACAAGACATGTATTCAGATAGAAATTTTTTTTGTTAAATACCCTCACTTCAGCCAATCCAAAAGAAAATCGGTAAACTTTGGATACCTTGTAGACATTGTCCCCTAGGTTTTAACTTAATCTTGTATATTGGCTAATATGCCCATGTATAAAGTCACAAAAATTAACAAAAACTCAATCTTCTCACATTTCATATTTCCTTTTAAAATTACTCGTGAAAAGGATTAGGAATTTTTATAGTGCACATTTTCACATCAGAATTCAGTTTCATGGTACAAGTTGCGCTATCAGAATTCTTGAGGGAAGCACATTCTGACCGGATTTTGAATTTTTGAGGAGAGAATATCGACGAGGTTGTGAATTTTAGGAATGAAAAATTTCAATCCAGTGGACAAGAGAAAACCATGGACCAGACGGCAGTTAAAATTATCTTCTTTACTAATCATCTTGGTATCTAAAATATGTAATTTGAAATAATTTTTTTATATTTTTTGTATCATCTTATGAAGTGTATTTAGTTTTTGATCATGAAATGTGAAGAAAGTAAGAAGAATAAAGAAACTAGTTTCTTAATACTTCCACTTACCTATATATGAAATATATAGTAAGGGAAAGTATTGCAATCGTGAAAATGTTCAAATCTGAGTTTTTAACAATCTGAGTTGCAATCAATGAAATACACGTTTGAGGTACTGTGAGTCCAAATAACCAAGTCCCGAAAAATGGTCTGTGTGTCTATGAAAACTCAAGCTCAAAAATGAAAGGTCGTATGAAACTGATATTACGTATTTAAGATAGGTATAATAGTCTGTGGGCCAGACCCCGTTACCGTGCACCCTCCCCCCACACATCCCTATAAATTGCATATCGTTGTGTTCCTTGTAACTATTTATTTAAAAAAAGCCAATGTTCCCACAAAAAAAGTGAACACACTGCCCCAAAATGGCGTCCAAAGATGGCGGATTTACGACTTTGACTTTAGTTAGTTTTTTGGTCACTGAGAATCAGCATTTGGCTTCATTTGACATCAAGAAATATTAAAAAATAATAGGCTTAGGCTATGAAAAAACACCAGTAAAGTCAACTTTTTCAACAAAAAAATATTCAAGTTACAAATCAAGCGTCGTTTGTAATTAAACGGCATACAATAATGCAAAACGTGCTGAAATAAACCATCTGGAGAATATATTTCTCTTTCTAAAACGCTGATTATTTTTTAGAAATGTTTAAGCAGTTCCGTAGAAAATGTACTTATGCGGCAGAAAAGCGGTACTGGCGTGAGTGCCTACAGGCCTCTACCACACCATTCAGTGCCCATAAATGGCTTAGTTATAGTGATATAATAACATTTTTGGTACATTATATTGATTTTATTAACGAACAAATATTAATGCAATAATTTAATTGTAAGAAAAAATGTATTATTATTTTTTTTAAATTTAACCACCTTTATTCTATACGTAGGTCGTTTAAGAAGACCTCTATTGTAAAAATGATATAATTATAATAATAAAACTTAATTAAAAAATACTTTGCTAAATATCTTGATTTTTTTTTATTTGACGTTGCAATTTAACACTGTGTTTTGTATATTTACTGATTCTTAGAGGTAATTAAAAATTTTATATACTTCCCAGGAAATGAGTCATATTAATACCTGTTTTATAAACTAAAATAATATATACCTAATCTGAACTATATATAATGAATAGCTACTGGGTTGTTGAGTAAAACTCATATATCATTAATTAAAAAATTAATTTTTATTTCCTTTATTTTGTGCAGAAGTTGGACTGTATCATAAATAAATAGGAAATTTTAATATTGAATGAATTATTCTCTATGCATGAAGAAAGGTAGAAAGGGTGACCCTAACTATAAACCAAAATTAATTGTTTGGATTTGATCCCAAATTAAGGAAAAACGCGTATAATACATTAAGCGAACGAGAAAGGAAGTACCAAAACCTCGGAATAGATAAAAAGGACTAGTATTTATTATATAGCTAAATGAATGTATAGTAGACAGATGAAAAGAATATTTCAAGATGCTGCTAAAACTGGGTCAATTGCAGTTTGGATGATATTAAGTGGACGATGTAGGTTTATTATGGTGAAAACCGCTTTATTTTCGATTGCTTAAGGTGCTCATCGGGACTATCTTCACTTTGAAGCAGGATATAGAGAGGTATATCGAGAAAGTTATAGCTCATAGCTCTCCTTCTGTTAAGTGGATTTCCAAAAGATTTTTTAAGGAATCTAAAAGGAAAACGTGCTTTTCTGAAAGACAGTTAAATATTAGCATAATCCAAAGTATGAGGCACTATGCATATAGAGAGCTATTTTTCTTTTTATGTGGACTTCTCTATAACCTGCCTTAAAGTGAAGACAGTCCCAATTTTCAACTTCTCTACCAATGTGCAACTTGAGTTTCAATCCATATCACTCTGGCAATCGACAATATTTCTTATTCCAGCTTCTACGATTCTTGAGTATAATTTGTTTGGTACACTAAACAGGAATGGATCTTGATGGGTGTTACATTTCCTAGTACCTCCTTTCTTGTAAAGGTAAAAACCACAGTCCTTTCATATTATTTTCTAATATGCTTGTTGCCTATGTACGCGCAAAACTGTCAAAGCAGTTCGGTTTCTCCCTTTCCATCTTTCTTTGTGCGAAGAGAATAATACATTCAATATTAAAATTTCCTATTTTTTTATGATATGGTAAAATTCCGAAGAATTTATTCCGCAATTTCTGAACAATAACGAGCTATAACTAATATAAGATTCCTTAAAAAATCTTTTGCAAATGCACTAAACAGAAGGAAAGCTATGAGCTATAACTTTCTGGATATACCTCTCTATATCCTGCTTCAAAGTTAATATAGTCCCGATGTGCACCTTCAGCAATCGAAAATAAAGTGGTTTTCACCATAATAAACCTACATCGTCCACTTAATATCATCCAAACTGCAATTGATCCCGTTTTAGCAGCATCTTGAAATATTCTGTTCATCTATCTACTATACATTCATTTAGCTATATAATGGATACTGATCCTTTTTATCTATTCCGAGGTTTTGGCACTTCCTTTCTCGTTCGCTTAATGTATTTTTCCAATTTTCTCGTTTAAGTTCATGTTTTCCTCATTTTGAGATCAAATCCAAACAATCAGTTTTGGTTTATAGAAGAACTATTAACCCCTTCTATCTTTCTTTGTGCATAGAGAATAATTCATTCAATATTAAAATTTCCTATTTATTTATGATATAGTCCAACTTCTGCACAAAATAAAGGAAATAAAAATTAATTTTTTAATTAGTGATATATGAGTTTTACTAAACAACCCGGTAGCTATTCATCATATATAGTTCAGATGAGGTATATATTATTTTAGTTTATAAAACAGGTATTAATATGACTCATTTCCTATAAAGTATATACAATTTTTAATTACCTCTAAGAATCAGTAAATATACAAAACACAGTGTTAAATTGCAACGTCAAATAAAAAAAAATCAAGATATTTAGCAAAGTATTTTTTAATTAAGTTTTATTATTATAATTATATCATTTTTACAATTGAGGTCTTCTTAAACGACCTACGTATAGAATAAAGGAGGTTAAATTTAAAAAAAATAATAATACATTTTTTTTTAATTAAATTTTTTTTTTACAATTAAATTATTGCATTAATATTTGTTCGTTAATAAAATCAATATAATGTACCAAAAATGTTATTATATCACTATAACTAAGCCATTTATGGGCACTGAATGGTGTGGTAGAGGCCTGTAGGCACCCACGCCAGTACAGCTTTTCTGCCGCATAAGTACATTTTCTACGGAACTGCTTAAACATTTCTAAAAAATAATCAGGGTTTTAGAAAGAGAAATATATTCTCCAGATGGTTTATTTCAGCACGTTTTGCGTTATTGTAGGCCGTTTAATAACAAACGACGCTTGATTTGTATTTTGAAATTTTTTTTGTTGAAAAAATTGACTTTACTGGTGTTTTTCGTAGCCTAAGCCAATTATTTTTTAATATTTCTTCATGTTTTATTATTTTATAACTATTCAGCTTTAATAAAAGACCAACTATGAGGAAATTAAGCCAAATGCTGATTCTCAGTCACCAAAAAACTAACTAAAGTCAATGTCGTCAATCCGCCATCTTTGGACACCATTTTGGGGCAGTGCGTTCACTTTTTTTTGTGGGAACATTGGCTTTTTTTTAATAAATAGTTACAAGGAACACAACGATATGCAATTTATGCAACTGGGGGGGTGCACGGTAAGGGGGTCTGGCCCACCGTGTATAAGTCTTAGAGGTCACAACAACTTTTTCCTTGAAATCGGCTAACTGGAAGTGCCACTTTCTATCAACGGCTAAACCCATTTTTACATGTTCTCAAAAACAGCTCTAACGATTTTGATTAAACTCAATATATTATTGTATAACTAAGCACTAGCGGATCCAGGATTTAATTTTGGGGCGGGCTTCAAGCCGAAAGCTTTTTTTTTTTATAAAAGTAACGATAATTACTTTGGAAAATAAGAAACAAACTAATTATTTATATGAACTGGTGTTTAAGTGATTCCTAAAGACCTTTTAAATGTAATTACACGAA